TTTTTAAAATTCCCAGTCTCTCCTTCCCCTTTGCTCTGCTTCGTAGTCACTCCTTTATCTGCTCAGCACTCACCATGGAGCAGTCCGTGTTCACTATTACTTAGAAATAAGTTAGCCACAGCTTAAGAGAGTGTTGCTGACCCAGTCTGAAATTATACATTTTCTAAAATGTTTACTCACAAGATATAGCTGTTATTTTGCTCCAATTAAAAGAATTCTGCATTCCCAGTTTTCTCATCTTCCTATAGCATGGTTCCCAATAAATTCTTAACTGCTATATGATCTATCCTTTCTGCTCTCTTGTTTTATGTCTAATTTTTTACAAACAGGTTTACCTCAAGTACTTTCCACCAAGGTCTATAGTTACTCAGCATTGATTCTACAGAAAAACATAGGAAAAATTGTATCCTGGGAATTCCTTTTGTTTTCTGCTCTTTTTTAAAAATTATATCTTTTAGAAGCACAAAACCATTATTATTATTATTATATGTTTGTGGAACATATTTTAAAAATTTTATCAACACATTATATATTTACTTACCGTTGCTGTTTGAGGCCCACCCTTGTGTTATGCTCATTTTCTCTTATCCTGAGGTAAATCGTTCAGCCTTTTTGTGTGTTTTGTGAAGAATTTGTTATAGTAAAGTCAATGTTAAAATGTTTGAATCTCATTGAAGATGTATATTTTTATCTTTTGAATAAGAATTTAATTGGATAATGACTTTAGCCCTGGAGATAAATAACTTTACCTTGATGTTGAAGAACACACTTTATTACTTTCTGTGCCTACTATTATTATGACTCTGAGATGGTTCTTCATTCCAGGTAATTTGATCACATATATTCTTGACTGTCATACGATCTATACTATATATGAGTGACCTGCATTTTCATTTAGTATTCTCAGACTCAGATTACCACCCCCTTACATCCTATTTAGTTTTTTAAAAAATGGTTAAGCTTAGATCTGAAAACCCATTTTTTATCAGTTCCACATATTTTTTCATAGGCATCTCTTCAACATTCTAATCTCTTTATTCCTTCTCCCACATTCTAACCCTCATCTTTCTGGGAATCTTAGTATGTCTGTGTTTAGACTATTTACCTGTCTACCTCACATTTTCTGTTTTTTCCTATGTAAATACCAGCTTTTAAAATCTACCTCCTAACATCCCCCCATAGTGGTATGTTATCTATTCTTTATGCTATTTTGTAATAATTACTTGAATGTAGGCAGATTTTTCAGTTCCTCCAGCTAGCTCCCAAATAACCACATGGAGACTTCTTATTAATTAAGAAAGCTCAGCCGATAGCTTAGGCTTGTTTCTAATTAGGACTTATAAGTTACATAAACCCACTTCTATTAATTTACCTTCTGCCTCATTACTTCACTACCTTTACTCTGTACTGCCCATGCTACTTTCCTTCTCCTCCATCTCTGTCCGTCAACTCTCCATGTCTCTGCCCTTCTTCCCAGCATCCTCTCTGCCCCCAAAATCCTGCCTAGCTATTGGCCATTCAGTATTTTTTTTATCAAATCAGTCTGAGTGACAAATCTTCACAGTGTACAGAAAGATTATTCCACAACACTTGAACTTCTGTTCACACCTGAATTTTTGTCCAATACCTTGCCAATCTCACAGCACTTCCTTTATCTTTTTTGAGAATTCTAATTGCACTTGTTTTAAAGACTTTGATTTGATTCCTTTCTTTTGAGATGCTGACTGTTCCAAGATTTACATTTTGCCCTTTTCTCGTGGTTTTTATTCATATCTTGTAGACATTCTGAGGTCATGCACTTGATTCCTGCCTTGCGGTTGCTATAGTTTTCTGGGCTGATGAGGCTCCAAACAACTGCTGAAGCCAGTTTGTCCACACTCACAAGAGGACATGATAGTCATCACAGTGCTGGATAATACGTAATCAGTTGACAAATAGATGCTTTTTGGAGCTACCTGAAAAATATTCCTCTCCTTCTGAGCCCTAGTCTTTCTCCAGAAACCAAAGACCTTGTTACAACTGAGTTACAACATAGCTAATGGACCAGCAGAGCTCCCAGCACTGTCTTCCAACTTCAGAACAGTCCTTTCTGATGAATGGGCACATTAACCACATTTTAAAGTTTTACTACAACTCCACCTTCACCCAAATCTTACTTCTAGAATCTTGAGTTCTCTGCATATGGAAGATATTATCCCTGATGTTATACCTCTAGTGAAAGTCTGTCTCCACTCAAGTTGCCCATTCTATTATACTATAAACTACAGGGAGTGCAATAACAGATTTAGTTCTAGGCTAAGAGCTTACAAGTGACTAGTCCTTTTGTTCCCTTTGACACCTCCTTCTCTCTTCCTGGCACTAGTAGCTAGATTTCCAGATCTTCAAGCTCCAAGTACCACTGTTTGAATCCATATCCCATTGACTACTTATGTTTCATCCCACAATTCACCACAACTAATTCTTCCATTAATCAGGACACTGAGCATTCTCAATCACATAACAGAGCACCACTTCCTCATGCCTGCTGCTCTCTTTCTTCTCCAGGGTACCTTTCACAGGGTAACATTTCTACTATGGGAGCCAGCTTTTCATTCATTCAGTTAACTGCTGGGCTTTTGTTGTTGTTATTGTTCTGTTTTTATTTTTATTGTTTTTTTAGTATCCTACTCTGAACATTTTAAATAGCCAGAGTTTATGTTATAAATCTTCTCCATCAACTTGTAATAAACATTTCCATCAAATGCATTTATATTTGAATTCTTGGTACAGCATGTGATTTTAATGTTATGATATCATCTAGTAGTATTTAAGTGTGTTATTAGAGAATTAAGTAACTGTGAATCAGTCTTAGTTTTGATATTATGGATTTGAATTTTCCAAAATTTGGTAACATGATTTTTTTTAGTATTACAAGTTCCTAAATCTTCCTTTGTTGTGGAGTCACTAAGAGCACTTGCTGCTCTTGCAGTGGACAAGGGTTCTGCTCCCATCCCTACATGGTGGCTCAACCAACTCTAACTCCAGTTCCAGGAGATCCAATGCCCTCTTCTGACTTCCACAGACACCAGGCATGTGCTACACATACATACATTCACTATGGTAAAACGCTCATACAATTAACATTTTAAAACTATAACACATATTTTTAAAATGTTCTTGGTCTCAGAATGGATGAGACCAGGCACAATGTCCTTTGAATACTTAAAAGGATTACATCTACACTAGAGCAGCTGCCAAATTCTGCCAGCCAACTTCAAAGCCATACACACTGAGCTGGGGAATTCATAATCAGCCTTTACAAGGATATTCGAAGTCCTCAGTATATTTGACCTTGGGCTGGACTTGAACATTATTTTTCATGTTTACCTAACACTACAAGTGATACCATTGACTAGTTTGACACCATTAAATAAAACCTTTTAAAACAGTTTTCAGTATAATTGAAAACATTTGATGTGTTTCTGGGAAAGGCAGCCAATCAATTACAAAGCAACCATGAAGGGGCCTGGTCTAGGAGACCAGGCAGAGACAGCTGGGACACAGCAGCGCAAAAGTGCAAGCTCCTTAACCAGAAGTGTGAACAACTCCAGGCAGGGAGAGATGAGGAAACTTCCGGAACCCTTGAGCATGGCAATGGGAAGTTCTGCTTGAAGTTCCACTCACCCACTGGCTCAAGGTTGCTGTGGGGAGGGACATGTCACCACCCAGGCAGAAATGATTGCTAAACATTTTCTCTATCTCCTCTGATAAAATAAATGACCCGGTTTGAATCTGCACCATTCTTGCTTTTCAGAGGGTTTGGGTGAAAGCACAGGTCTGCAAACCTTGGTGGAAGCCAACCTCGGGTTCCCAGTTCTTCCGAGGAAAACGGTTGGCTTTAGCATAAGCAGCATGGGCCGGTGGAAGGGACTACCAAGACAACAGTGAGCACAGAAACTATTTACTGAGGGGCCCAGAGTACCCAAGAAGATAAAGTGTGAGTCCCAGACCACACCAGGCACCATCAGGGGTAATCTTGTGGGACAGAGCCTAGGACAGGCCCTGCTAGCTAGCTCATGGGACACACTGAGTGTCTGGGCAGCAGTCTATTTTGAGCCTCTGGGGTGCTTGCAAGGCCCCACTCCCACAATGACTTCTCTACATGGAGTCTTTCTATTTCCCTTAGGGGCCTCCACATGTACCAGGCAGAGATGGGCCTAGGAAGGAAAAAAGATCTTGGCAATTACAAGACAGAAATTAGGAGACAGAAGATGTGCATGATTTATAGCAACAATGAAACCTACCATAGTTTTGTTGATAAAAACAAAAGGCTTTAAAACCAAAATCCACAAATTTGAAATTCCAAATTATTGATGCTTAGTTAAATGAAACATGTAATAGAAAATGGATATTGTGCAGTCATTAAAATAATAGATAAGTAAAAATACATAAGTAGTTAGAGACATATGACTTACATAAGAATAGACTGAAAACAATGTGTACACTGATTTCATTTTTAATGAAAAATTACAGTTTTCACGTTGATCTGATGGCAATAGGCAATGCGGAACTCAAGACAAGTACTTTTTATTTAAACAGCTTTTTGAAAATCAAAATAACGATCGCTTGCTACATTTACATGTGGAGAAGCCAAAACATATTTGTGGGCATATTCCAAAATCTATTACTCTTGTAAGAAACTCTCCTTGAACATGAACTATGTTTAAGTTATTTTATGCTAATGTGAAACTGGGTATTTCTCTATAAGCACAAATTTTGGGCTGTCTTGTATTAGTTAGTAGGGACAAATGTTTAAAATTGGCTTGTGAACGGATCTCTTTGGGGGTTCTTTCTGTCTCTAGAGGTGTCATGTCAACAGTATCTGACTGACAAGTATACACAATACACTCTAATGATAAGATAGTTCAGCTTATGCCATGCAGTTAATTCTTAGTTTTATCTTGGAGATTTTCTTTAAGACTCTTCAACCCTCCCTGTCTCAACTCTTTCCCTTTTGGCAGCAATGTACCACCAGGTTCAGGGGAACAGAAGAAGGGGAAGTTCCCGATCTGGCCAGAGTGGAGCGAGGCAGATATAAATGCCGAAAAGTGGGATGCAGGCAAAGGAGTAAAGGAGAAGGACAAGACGGGCAAGAGCCCCATCTTTGTAAGTAGGATGTCTGAGGCTTGCAGACGGATGGGGGTGGCTTTGTTTTCCAGTCCAGGAGAGAGAGGCCAGGGCCTAGCACATGCTCCACAAGTTCTGCCCCTAAGCTGTAACTCCCCAGCTCATTAATAATGGGATACACCTGTCAGCATAAGTTTACACTCCTCCTTTCTACAATCTCCATTCCAAAGGGAAAGCTTTTCTTTTGGCCTTGATCCCTTCCCCTGCCTTGTTTTCCCAACCTTTATCCTGGAGAAATGGGTGGGGAGAAATATAATTGAATCCTCGTGAAATAAAAGGGAAAATGAGAGATAAGTGACTTGGCTTGGCAACTGGTTTTGGACGCTAGGAAACCCAGTATTTGACTTTGTAGCAAAGTCCCACAGTACCTGCCATAGCGTTTGATGTTCAGCCTTTGTCTAACATGAGATGCTACAAAATGAAACAGACACTTAGCTACCATTCCAGTCTCTGTTTTTCCTCCCACCTTCCACACAGACTTGTTTTTGTCTGAATAGTACAGATACATCCTAGAATCTGATTTTCAAGATAGTTTCCACTATCACTGGATAAAGGCGCTCCAAGCTCCTAAAAAGCATTTTTTTGTCGTCTGTCAGAGTTTTCAAGCACTGTTGCCCTTCCCTCCCTGAAGTTTCTCCATACTTTGGATTGACTCATCAGGTTGCTTCATCGCTCTATTGCTTAACTGTGGGTTTGCCCAATCTAGCATACTGCTGTAACATCCGAAAGATACACATGCTAACAGAGACACACATCCACACACAAGCAAGCACCGGTAAAGTTTTCAATGGCTGTCAAATATTATAATACTTGACCTTCATTTGAGCTCAAATGGTTCACAGGCCCTTGATATTTGAAAGATACATCCATTTTAGATATGGTGCCAAGAATGCGTTGCCCAACACATTGTTAATGAAATCAGTAATTAATTGCCTTTTAATTGCCTTTACTACATACCTTTTGTGAACCAGTCACTGAGATTCTACATCGGTTTCACAGAATTTAAATGTTAACATTTACCATTTCAGAGTGTTCTATGCAAATAAAGACATCATAGGTTAGTCTAACCATTCTGGTCACTTAGCATGTATTTCAAAAATTTGGGCTAAGGATACTTTTAAGTGAATCTCACCAATAGTCCACAATCAAATTTTACTTAACAGTCAAGGTTCTGTCAAGGATGTATGCCATTCTTTTAGATATTTTTCTTTTATGGAAAAATGAAATTTTTTTCACATCACATATACTGATTATGGTTTCCTCTTACCCCACTTCCTGTCTGGATCCTCCCAGGTTCTGTCTCTCATTAGAAAGCAAGCATGCTTCTATGGGATGATAATAAAATAAAATATAATGTAGGTATCTATTTTTTTAGCTTAGGGGAATTATCTCCTATGAATTCTTTGAAAATACTGTCTGTATCTTTGATATGAGTTTCTTCTTCTTCCTGTATTCATATTATTCTTTGATTTGGTCTTTTTGTAGTGTCATGGATTTCCTACAAATTTTGTTATAGGATTTTTAGGGGTTTCACATTTTCTTTGACCACAGTATCCATTTTCTCCATGGTGTCTTCAATGCCTGAGATCCTTTCTCCCATCTCTTGTGTACTGTTGACAAGCCTTGCCTCTGAGGTTCCTACTTGAGTCCCTAATTTGTTTATTTTCAGATTTCTCTAGTTTGGGTTTTCTTTATTGATTTATTTCTACTTTCAGGCTTTGACCTATTTTACTCACTTCTGTCTACTTCCTGTTTGTGTGTTTATAGATTTCTTTAAAAGGAGTTACTTGCTTTGTCTTTAAAGAGCTCTGTTATATTCATGAAGTCTTTAGAATCTTTGTATGTGTTTCAACTATGTTGCAGTACTCAGGGTCTGCTGTAGGACAGCTAGGCTCTAGCTGAGACATAGTGTCCTAGCTGCTATTGTGTTTTTATGGCATGGGTCTCTTGGAAGATTAGATATCTGTTTTTTTCTTTGCTGGGGAAGTGTTGTGTTCCTTGCTTTATATTGCCCTGTCTGGTTCTTAGAAGGTGGGTGCAGCCTGGTGGGAAATTCTTCTGGTCTTCTGATAGATATGATCCCTGGGGGAAAATGTGTTTCTAAGTATGGGGAGCTGACACTGAGGAATGGAGGTGGCCTCGGAGGAGAAGCTGAGGGAGGAGGGTCTCAGAGGAGAGGCTGATTCACAGGAGGAAGGAAAGCAGGATATTCCACCAGGATCTGCTTCGTGCCCTGTGTTATAATTTAAGAAAAGTGACACATGAGAGAAAGACATGACAGGGTTCAAGCAGCAGTTTTGTTATTTTTGTTTTTGTTTTAATTAGGGAAAGGGATCATAAAAAGGGGAAATGGAAGTAGGGAGGCCAGCTTCTGGAGACAGAAGCAGCAGAGAGAGGAAAGAGGGGGAGAGAGAGAGGAGCTTAGGAGGTGGGCAGAGCCCTTTTAAAGGGAACATAGTGAATATGCACAGGTGGTGCTCTTAGTGGCTGCAGCTGAGGGCATGTCCTGTCAGAACCCCAAGGACAGGCCAGGGCAGATGCCTGAATAGTAACACCCTGGGAATAGAGGCACAGAGTGAGCAGGGGCCACAGCAGGCACTCTGCTGCACAGCTGGGGATGGGACTTGTGGGTTGGATTTGGAGGACTGGGAAGTAAATATCTGTAGTTTGCCTAGTTGCTTCCCTGGCCATTTTGAATTTCAATATTCAAATATTCAACAAGGCGTTTCTGAAGACAAACACACACATCTCTACAAATGCTTCTGTATTGATCTAACATTTGTATTAGTTGGTTTTTATTAAGATTGAATTTGTATTATAATACAGCCACATTAAAAAAAGCTCAATTTAATTTTATTTTTCATTTAGCACTTTTTTGAAGATCCTGAAGGAAAGATTGAATTACCACCATCATTGAAAGTCTTTTCCTGGAAACGTCCACAAGATTTTATATTTAGCCGAGTAAGAATTATTTTCACTATTGAATGAAATACTTTTTCCTAAATGATGGGATATCTTAATGGCCAAACTTTGCATTCTTCAAGTAATTTACAGTGTTTTTCCTGTGATATACAGCAAAAATAATTGCATTTTAGCCTCTAACTCAGAAGTTCTTACTTGTCAGTATATTTTAATAATTCCTTTATTGGTAGAACTATGGAGATGGCTCCTTGGTCAGGTGCTTTCTGTGCAAGCATAAGGGCATGGGTTCAATCCCCAGAACCCATTTTCACCTGGATATGGCAGTATTGCTTGTAAACACCACACTGGAGATGGCTACATAGGCTAATCTCTGGGGCTCACTAGCCAACCAGCCTAGCTGAGTTGGTGCATTTCAGGTAAAAGTAAAACCCTGACTCAAAAGCCAGATGGAGAATGTCTGAGGAAGACACACGAAGTTGCTCTCTTGCTCGCTACATGTCCCACCCAGGCGTTACAACAAACATACATGGGCAGGCACATTCGCACATGAACACACACGCTCACACACACACACACACACACACACACACACACACACACACGCAGGCACGGGAATAGAATAGTAAAATTTCTTGTATAGATTTCAAGGAGATTACTGTGTTTAGGTTTTTCAGGATTGATTTTTCTACTTCTATCCTAAATGTCAAATCATAACAGAAAATGTTGCACCAAGTTATTTGTATTTCTGACTAGCAGATTTGCTACACTCTGCATCTCAGTGTGAAATCACAGGGCATGAAGGTCTCTTTCCTCCAGTGTTTATTATAATTAATTTTCCAGTCCAGGAGATTTGCACATGGGTTCCCATCTTCCAGGGACCCTCCAAGCATCCTCCAAAGTCTGTCTCCATCTCTAGACTCCATGTTCAGTCAGTTGAATCATACATTTGTGGAGACACCTTCATTTTAAACAGCTCTCACATACTTTAGATCCTCTATTCTAATACCTTAATAGCCACATTAATTTGAGTGTATTTCTTGTCTGCAGGGTTTTAATTATCACTAATGCTTTTCCCTTGCTGATTTTCTTACTGTTTTCATTGAATGCATAGAGCACCAGTAGGGTAAACTAATTAGTACCAGTCAAATAGTTTGTAATGGAGCTAGTTCTTGTGCACATTTGAGTCTATTGAGTCTCTGTTTCAACACAAAGTAGTTTCTATCCTCAAAGTGTTAGCCTTCATCAGTGTTGGTACCAATGCAGGGAAATATAAGTCAGTCCTCTTACTAATTGAAAAAAAGCTGTTTCTACATTCAAAGTGATTCACTAAAACAACAGTGTCTTTCGAATACTTCCCTATAAGACATTTCAAGTAAGTCCATTATGTACAAAACAAGCTTCTAAATCAATTTTAATTTTGAGCAAAAATGACATGACTACAAATTCTGCTGTTCACATAATTCACTTGACATTGATAGGTCTTTAGTATATCATATTCTGCTTACTGTAAATTCATCATTGATGTCCCATGAAAAAAAATGGTTTTATAAACTGAATAAATAGATTGCTTTTTTTGTTTGTTTTTTTCTACGAGACAGGGGTTCTCTGTATTGTTTTGGAGGCTGTCGGTCCAGCCCGGCCTCGAACTCACAGAGACCCGCCTGCCTCTGCCTCCTGAGTGCTGGGATTAAAGGCGTGAGCCACCACTGCCCAGCATAAATAGATGTTTTAAGAACAATTTCCTCTACTTTTTAGTAGACAGTGGGTCTAAGAGTTAAATTTGTATAAAAAACAAATTCAGTCTTCCCTGTGTAACCTCTCTACCTCTGTGCATCATAACAGGCTATCCGCCTGCATGCCACTAGTGGCCCTTCACAGAGGTTCCTCTCTTGATAGATCATTCTAGAATGGGGCCCAGAGCATCCAGAAGTGAAAGTCTAACTAAGGAAATACCTAGGTGTCAAGATTTGATGTATAGACTCACAATAAGAATCATTAAGTATACTCATAAGTAAGGTTAAAGCAAACAAAACAATCCTGTAAAATAATGACCTTCTTGTATAAGATTTGGTCTATGACACCTTCCTTCCCTCCAGCTGTTTCATGAAGCTAATCTCATTTTTTCTTTTGTTTTTTAAATTGCAAAATTCCCTTTCCTCTCTCCAAACACTTCCGTATGCCTCTTTTTACTAGTCGCTGTTATATGCATATATGCATATGTATATACATATATATTCCCAACTGTGATGTTGCTCCTATGTATGCTTTTCAGTGAAATAGTTTAAAGAAAGGTCCAATTGTCCTGACCCCACCTCCTCCCCCTGGGAGCCACATTTTCCTGCAAACAAATGGCTCTTCAGTACTCTTGGTAGCAGGGTTTTTTTCCACAACACCTAAAAGGGGCCCTCTTCCCTGATGACAAAGGGTCCTGATCTGTACAAATAGTTTGAGTCCTCTGAAAAAAATGGCCTTGTGTGATGTTTTATAAGATCAAAGTTTACATTGTAAAACCTGCACCTGGTGATGGAATTCCAGTCTTTGACTTTAAAGACACTGTCCTGCTTTGTCTGGCTTTCGACAGTTTTCCCAGGCACTAGAAGACTGGATGTATTTGCTATTGGCTTAGTAAAGTGTGGTGATCTGAAACATTCTGGAGTAGATTATATCATTCTGGACTTTTGGTAATAGACTACTTCTCCCACAAAACTGTCTTTTAATAACTTAGGTACCTTTTACCTTATTTTTTCAAACAATTAAATACCTATGTCTATATTTGTAATTTCAGACTCCTGTAGTTGTGAAAAATGAAATGACATTTGACTTGTTTTCACCAAATGAACATTTACTCTGCAGTGAGGTAGGTAGGGCCACAGGGCCCACTGTTCCATTGAGGAATGTCTTCCAGTCCTGTCTACACAAACAGATCCCGGACAGACATTGTCAACACAGTCTTGTTCACCTTTAAGTCATGATATGATGGATTGGACGAGGGGGGGATTTTTCATTTTTCCAACTTCTTTGAAGTATAGCTGTAATTCAAAATTGTATCTATTTATATTTTTATAGATTATAATCTTAGTGACTAAATATATATACACAGTATATATACACATATACACAGAGAGACACACATATGCTTCTAATTCAAGGTCAGTAAAAATTCACCATTTTAGGTCTTTTAATACCTATTGTTGCTCTGTCTCATTGAAACAAAACCAAGACCTATGATTTTTTTTCTGTAGCTCAGAAATAAAAATGAAGAAAATACTATATGTAAAATTTATTATTACTCTTGGAAACATATTTTTACCATAGTTCACTTAGAACTGCAGTACCCATTATTTAAAAAGGCATCCTATAAATACTCATGGCTTTTGTTGTGTTGTGTTCAGCTTATGAGGTGGATCATCAGTGAAATCTATGCTGTGTGGAAGATATTCAATGGAGGGATTCTAAACAATTACAATAAAGGAAATTCGGGAGAACTTCCCATGCTGCTCTGGAAACCCTGGGAACACATATACTCTCTCTGCAAGGCCGTGAAGGGTCACATGCCTTTGTTTAACAGCTATGGGAAGTATGTTGTGAAGCTTTACTGGATGGTAAGTCATTCACGCTGCTGTGCCTTTGACTTCCTCTCTCCTTCCTATTAAAAAAAGAGACGAGAATTAAAAAAAAGAAAACTGTTATTTTCCGTATGCAATCCCAGATATTCTCTAAGAAGGTTCGCCTTCTGTGGGTTACAGGTAGGGATGTGGGTAGGCAGTCAGACTGAATGTGGAGTTCAGTGATTTGCAGTGGTTCTTCATTGGTCTCATCCAAAGATCAGCTTGCAGGGTTGTTGGTCAGCACGCAGGCACTGAAACTCAGCGATTTCCACGTGGGTTGCTTTTACCACCGTGCTGTAGATTAATGTCTACTTGCTTTTCCAGTTGATAGAAGTCTGTTGTCTCTCAGCGAGGGAAGAACTTCTACCCTTTCCAAGCAACCCCAAGCTGGGAGGGTCCATCCACACCAGCGTGTACATGTTGCCATTAGCAGAGACTGAGTAAATTCTTTCTGACGAAATAATCTGCCCCCCTTTCCAGTCCACTTAGAGACACAAATCTTTCTATGTTTTGATTTTGAAACTTCCAGTTCTCGTGCAATACTCATACTCGTCTATCCTTTGCTTCTTCCTGGAAAGATTTAGAAACATGATCCTAAAAAGAGCCTTCGCTTGTTTCTGCTGATTCCATGTGATCTGCGGCAGGCACAATTTTGCGCTCAGTTGATGTTCTGCCCTGCCATGCTTCCTTTTCACTCTGAGAGCGATTTCTTTTCCCTGCCTTGTTACATTCTTTTCCTTCTTCTCTCGGGTCCCTCGGAGCCTTTAACCTCATGACTTCTTGGAGGCAATCCATCTCCTTGGGACCTTTAATAGTTAAGATTCTGATTTTTAAAAACTGTATTTAGTGATGTAGGCCTGCTATCCCCAAGACTCAAGAGACTAAAGCAGGAGGTCCAGAAGTTCAAGGCTTGTCTGGGCTGCGGCTTAGGTTCAAGGCTAGCATGGGCAAATACTAAAAAGTTAAAGCAAACAAACAAAACCAATTAATTATATGGCTAAATGGTAGACTGTTTGACTGCATCTGGGTCTAATCTCCAGTACTTAGAACATCAAGTAAGTAATTAATTGTGATTTTCATCCCAGGGCATTATTTCTCAGCAAAGCATTCACATTACATTACCCTGGATTCTCAGTTAGTCGTCCAAGGCTTCTTGAAATCAGCGAGATAGAATGCGTTCTGGGTCACACTGAGAACAGAACTGAACAGAAAGGCGAGAGATTGGTTTCCTCTTCCATCTGGCTATAATGACAGGAAGCAGGATACACCACGTCTTTCCATCTACTTCCCAGTTTCCATATTGCTTTGACTCCCAGGAGGAGAGAGAGAAGCAATTAAGCTGTTGTTCCCCACTTGAAATACAGCCCGCTGTGGGCAGCCTCCCTCTGTCTCTGAACTTACATTGCTTAGGATACGCAGATAACATGTACAGCGAGACTAATAATCTCCCCTCCCCAGTTGTTAACAATGTATTGATGTGAAAATTGTTTGTCTTCCTCACTAAGCTTTATAGTTTCATTCACACAGTACAGCAAAACCCCAGCACAAACATGTGGGCGCCTCAAATCCCTGCTTCCCACCGCCCGCCCCTCACCTTGGCCAGCTGACCCTGCTTGCAGGAGCCGAGGCTGCAATATTGTTTTGTTTCGTGCTACATTGTTTTGAGGCTGAGTCTTATTTGCACTGGCTGTCTTTGAACTCACAATGTAGGATAGCCTTGGAGTGTCCTGTCCTCATCTCCCATCTGCTGGAATAGCTCTGCCAGTCACCAAGTGGCACTTATAATCCTGCTTTTAAAATAAATTGTCAATAGTATTTTTATTAATTAAACTTAATGAACAATGCATTTAAGATATTAAACAATGACAATATCAAATGCTTCTATGGACATAAGAGCAAATGCATGCAAATGTGTATTAAATCCATTAATAAATGCTTAAGCTGCACAAGAGAAGCTTTGTGTGTGTCTTGTTTCTAGTATTTCTGCACATGAAATTACTCCATTATGAATGTGAAAATGTTCATTTTGATAAGTATATTCCAATTACTGATTTCAGTTTGGGTTTAGAAGTCATTTATACCATATAGAATCACAAATTAATTTGCCATTTTATTCTTTGTTACCATTCTTATTTTGCAATTTGTTTACCTATTCTGACTTTCTGTGTTTCTCTTGAGTGTCTTTGGGATTGTTTCAGTTTTTCTATCTTTTTTTGGTTTTTCATATACTCTGTATATTTATTCTTCCAGAAATTAAAATTTATATAGAAAGCTTTACATAGCTCTTAATAGCAACATTCTATCACTTGCATTCACATCTAAATACTTTGCCACTGTTTCAGACATCTCCCCTTTCTGAGATAGTTTTCTTAAATATTTTCTGAATATCCTGAAAATGTCATCATAAAATTCTTAAAGATTTATTTTATTTTTAGTAAAGTTTATGTTTCTCCCTCTGCTGTGTGTGTGTGTGTGTGTGTGTGTGTGTGTGTGTGTGTGTGTACATGTGTATGCAGGTGCCATGGAGGACAGAAGAAAGTGTAAGATATTCTGGATCTGGAATTACAGGCTGTAATTCCTGTGAGTTGCCTGGTGTAGGTGCCAAGAACAGAACTCTAGTCTTCATGATTGAGTAGCAAGGGATTTACCTCACTTTCCCTCCAGACCCCATCATAAATTTGGCTTTAGTATTTCAATAGAATTTTAAAAGATCCAGAGAACAACACTCTCTCATCTTGCCTAGGTGTTAATTCTGGCCTCCATGGGCATGCTTATAGAAGGAAGACAGCATAAACCCATAGTCATTTACCTACAACTTAATTGTGGAAAATATTAAAATTTGAATATGGTAATATGCTAAAATATTTTCATAATTTATATTTGTAGTTTTATTTATTCCAGTAATTTATATTTATAAATGTATATTGCTTATTTTTTGTATCACAGCAAGAGAAATACCTTAAAGAAGTGATTACAAGAGGAAAGATTTACTTTAACTCACTATTTCAGAGGGATCAGCCCACTGGTAGGAGGGAATGGGGGAGCAAAGCAGACCATACCATGATGGGCAAATAAGAGGAGAAGGGAATGCTGCCTTTGGTTGTCTTCTCCTTTCCCCCTCTTTGATGCTACCCATACCCTCCCATTCAGTACCACCTACATCGAGGTGGATTTTGTCATTTTCTTTGGAAACATCTGCTTTAGCACATTCACAGGTGTGCCTAACTAAGCTCCCAAGTGATTCTAATCCTAGATGAGTTGTCAATGAAGGTTAATAATCACAGAGGATGCATCTTTTTTTTTTGTTTTGTTTCTGTTTTACGAGACAGGGTTTCTCTGTATTATTTTGGGGGCTGTCGGTCCAGCCTGGCCTCAAACTCACAGAGATCCGCCTGCCTCTGCCTCCCGAGTGCTGGGATTAAAGGAAAGGCTTGCGCCACCACCGCCCGGCTGAGGATGCCTCTTTAAAAGTATCTTTAAAACTTAAAAATTTTGAGATTTTCAAAGAAGTGATAAGGTGCTAATAAACATTTTCCACTAAGAGCACCACCTGTGCATATTCACTATGTTCCCCTTTAAAAGGGCCCTGCCCACCTCCCATCCCCCATTTCTCTCTATTTTTTCTCTTTCTGTCTGTCTGTTCCTCTCTCTCTCTCTCTCTCTCTCTCTCTCTCTCTCTCTCTCTCTCTCTCTCTCTCTCTTTCCCCCCTCTGTTTTCCTTTCCCCTCCTCTCTCCTGCTGATCCTCTCTGGAGGAAGCTGGTTTTCTCCCTTCCCTTTCCCCTTTTTAAGATCCCTTTCCCTAGTTAAAACAAAACAAAACAAAAACTTCTGCTTGAACCCTGTCACATGGCATCTTTCTCTTACATGCTACTTTTCTTAAATTACAACACCAACAACAGAAATTGCTGGATGTCCAAGTAACAAGATGCTTATATAACCTCATATGACACAAGAGAATTCAAATTTTTATCCATTTATAATGATATAAGTAGTTTCATGAATTCCCAACCCTCACATTTTAATAACCTCCCAAAGGCCTCACCCCTAGCACCAACATTTTGGCTGTCAAAATTACAACATAATTTTTTAGGTCAAAGTAACCATCTCTAGAAATTACCTATGTATACCCAAATACATGAAATGTTTGAGGAAGGGGGTCAACCATAGTATAATATCCATGTATCAAAACATTAGCAGGAGGACAGTTAGAAGTCCAGTCAAATTATACTTTAGAAACGTATACAATACTGAATGTTCACCATGTGTTATAATAGACTTTCTATGCAGTAGACTTTTTGAAATATAATTGCATACAATGTGGTTCAATAATCAAAGCATTCTTAGTTGAAAAATGTTTTGGAGCTTCTGGCTAGAGAGGGTACTATTGAACTGCTTTAGTATAATTATCAAGGATAGTTTAAAATTCTTCTTTCATGGATTCTAGTTGGCCACTTCAAAACTTGATTTGCAATCAAAACGTGAGAGGGGTCTTACCACTGTTATTCCTTTATTATGGCAAAATAAACCAGTTTGGCACACCATTTGAACCATTTAAGGGTTAAAATGAAGTGTTTTCACAGTTTGTGAGAACTGTCACTACTTCTTTACTGAACTTCCCAGCATCTGAAGCAGAGACTTTGTACTCACTAAAGGACAACTTTGCATTGCACCCCCTGTGCCCCTTGGTGATCACTTTCTGTCTCCATGAGTGCCCTAATTTCATTTCTGTGTTTGTAAAAAATTATCCTGGCAGAAAGCAACATAGGGGTGAAAGGGTTTATTTGCCTTACAATTATTACAGATTAGAGTTTGTGGTTGCAGGGAAGCCAGGAGCTCAAGGCAGCTAGTTACATCACATCTGTAGTCAAGGGCTGAAAGAAGTGCATACAGGCTTCCTGCTCAGCTAGCTTCCCTGTTCATAGTCCAGGGTTGGAACCGCCCATTTTGGGTTGGGTATTCCCCCACCTAGGTCAATCCAATTAAGTAAAAGTTCTTCACAGGCCAGCCTCATCTAGACAGTCCTTCACTGAGACCTTCTTTCCAGGTAGTTCTAGCTTGTGTTAAGTTGACAGAAGCAGCTGTCACAGTGAGCCTGCCTTTTTAAGGGTACTTAAGTGGGTGAAGAAGCGCTTGTCTTCTCATATCTACCTGATTTCTCTGTGAATTTATTATTGTTGTTGTTATCCATCTAAAGTTACATGAGTTGGGGTGCCTTTAACCTGTGGTGTTAATTCTATCTTGCCCTGCTTTATCTATTGAGAGAGAAAGATACAGATACTACTAAATAAGGTAATACTGAATTCAGGGTTACAAGCACCATACAAGGAAAATATTTCAAATGTCACTTCATTATGGCTTCCCTCTAGCAAAATGAATTGCACTTTTCCTCTGATCCTAGAGAGCTTTGAAATATATATATATATATATATATATATACATATATATATATATATATGTGTGTGTGTATATATGTGTATATATATATATATTTAATTTATGGACCTTCCCCCCACTAGACCAAAGTATTTAATGGTAATAGCTCTAGCATGTATCATGAATATTATGGGGTTCACAATGCTTATTGTTACTACTGACAATATTTGTTAACACAAGAATGAATTCATAAGAATTTAGGCATGTAAGCTAACACAAAAACAATCATAATTTAAGCTCATTTGTTTCATCCTTTTATTATGAAATGAAGAGCCTTTAGTTAAACATATAATGGTTTGATTAAAGAATATATTAGTTTACTTTGTGTTGAAAATTAGATCATTAACTAGGAATACTGAAAATATGTGATCAGAAGTGTAAGATTAGGAAGCATATGTCTGCATCAGTAGTATTAAGTAATAGTTAAAGAATTTTTACTGTGAGTACACAAAGTATATTATTCTCAGTCTTATTTCTGGCTGAATCATGGTTTCATTCTGTTATTCAAACATATTTACTTTGTAATATGCTCGTAAGACCTTCAAAAGAAGGAATGGTATTGACATCACTATAGTTACGTGATAATAATATATTTCAGAAGCTATAACAGCCAACCAGATTAGTTCTGAAACTTATATCTTAGCTTTCAACATAAGATGTTAATACCAGGTTTTTGTTTGTTTAACAAAAATAAGCAGCAGAAATATGTAGTAATGTTTAAAGGGAGAATGCTGTAAATCACTGATGATGGCACATTGCTTTCTTCTCATCTTTAGGGTTGCTGGAGAAAGATAACTATTGATGACTTTTTTCCATTTGATGAGGATAACAATCTGTTGCTTCCAGCTACAACCTATGAGTTTGAACTGTGGCCAATGTTACTGTCTAAAGCCATCATTAAGCTGGCAAATGTTGAGTATGTATTGAGAAATTATCATGCATTTGTGAGAGCCTTTTAAAAATTCAAGGACTTTTTCTTTCTAAACAATGTAAAATTTCAAGTATATAAGTTAAGCTAACCAATAGCTTGAAGTATTGTCTTAACTGGATAAAGGACAAAACCGTCCCAAGAAAGAACATACAAAAATCATTCTATTCTCAATATTTTCTAACTAGCAGTGGAAAGTATATCATAGAAAATATTTTGTGTTAACAAGGGAAATTGTTTATTAGGGGAAACATTAAATCATCTAAGTGCTGAGATCCAATTAGTGTTTTATAATCTGTTTATGCAGCAATACTGTAAAAACCCTAAAAAGACTGAGCTCATTAGAAGGAGACCAAAGTGCTCTTCATGTTTTTCACTCACTGGCCAACTGAAAGCATCATGATGAAAACTACTCATTTGTTTAGTGTGTTTGCAACGTGTGCTTATATTTATCTGCCTACAAGATTTTGCACTCAACATAAAAGTCTCCCCTGTCCTGCCGACAAACCTTTCTTCCATTCTGGTCCTTTCAGGATAACTCACAATGAAAACAGGGCTCAGATATGGGAGTAGATGTGCTTGACAACTGTACTACTCAGTGGTCATGTCCTCACAGTGTAGGAGCCTGATCCCAAAACCTTCTTCAGTGCAGTACTCCAAAGCAACTCCATCCTTCCTTCACAGACTTTACCCTCCTGCTTTAGCAGACCCTGCAACCCTGTGCTCAAAGCTCAGTCCCTCCCCTTCCCTAAGAAACATTAGCAATACCATGGAGATGCCAGGGCTGCTTTGTATAGATATCCCCTTGACTGTGCTTCCTTTTGTCTCTCAAGGCTACAGAACAAAACAGTCACCACTGTTGTCAGCCTCCTCATTTTTATTGCTAAACCCCAATTTCTACTGATAATTCAGCTTTCAGTCCTACATTTCAATGATTTTTGTAAAATGTTTACCCAGATTATTTTTTACCTAGACTAGGCAGGTAGATATTACTGAGTATTTCCACGGGTGGAAGTTGTGTCTGTTTGTTTGGGGAAAAAATGAATATAATGCTTTTAGTGTTCCTAAGAATTGGAGCAAGGCTGCCACAGAATTGAATAGATGACCTGGATAGCTGCAGCAGCATGGCTTTCGTTGTAAAGCCATGGTTCAGTGGAATTCATTAAGAATATGACTAATAGAATTATTCTTTTAAAATAAACAAAACCAGCTTGGAAATAAAAGGCTAATTAAAATACAGTACATTTAATTTTTTCTAGTAGAAGCTGTCTTATATGATGTTATTTATATTTTTCTATAAATCACATCAGATTTGGTTTTATATGTGAGGCTTAGCATTCTACAGACAAACCTAACGTATTGCGGTGATTTACATACCCATGTTGAACATGGAGAGAAAAGAGTGTCATTTCCATAAGGCTTTCAAAGTCACTCATAAAATGAAATTACACGAGGCATTTAGGGGAGACACTGAAATACACACCAGATTTATGTTGTCTTTGAGAAATGTAGCAGCATGAGGATCCATAATCTATTAAATAAGCCATTGTAAATCCACAAACAGTGGGCTACATCACTGATAGCCTATGAATTCTTTCTGAAGGGAAGTATATGTTGGTTAGTCAACACCATTAGCACCATGCCTGGCACAGGGTAGACTGAGCCTTCTCTCTGGGGTGGAATGGGGTTACATTTTCTATGTAGACTAATGTACTTGTAAACACACTAACCACCCAAGGAAATCAGACATAGGCAGAAGGACCAAAGCACAGCATGGTATCTGGCTAAAGGCAACCTCTCACTTTATGTCTTACTGCCAGGTGTACTCTTTACAGGACAGACCACATATTTCTGTTTTCTCCTCTACTGTCAAGGATTCACTAAGGATTCCTCTTACTTATCTTGAGTCGCCTTGTGGGCATCTCAACATCATCTTAGAATGATAAAACCGCTCCCCTTTGAAGAGAACAGAGTTGCACACAGAATATACAAGCGAGTTAACACAATTTTGCACTATATAATATGAATATGTTTTATGTTTTTGGAAATTAGTGGAAATATTTTAGCTTTTAAAGAAATAGTTCCTAATATGTGACACCCTTGTCAAAAGAAAACAACAAAAGTCATATAATCATGCTTTCAAAATACATTTGAAAGCTTAGTGTTGGGTCTACTTAGGCCTTTTTAAACAAATTAAAAGCATCTGGTTTGTGAGATGACATTCCTTTAGACTGTGACATGCAGCTGGTATCACCCCCTACATAGATTACTATGATCCTGTGCAGAGTGTTTTCTAGTCTTTATTTACTGTTATGCATTTCCAATCACTGATAACTATAGCACCATGCATTTCCTTTCAGCATTCACATTGCACAGAGGCGAGAGCTGGGAGAATTCACAGTTATCCACGCACTTACTGGGTGGTTACCTGAAGTCATTCCTCTTCAGTAGGTTTTTTTTCTTAAAGAAACATTGATTTATTTGTTTGTGTGTGTGTGTTTATTGGGGGTAGGGAGTGGTGTGTCAGGGCATAAGGGTATATGTCAGAAGACAATAGGAGGGTCCTAAGGATTAAATTCTGATCATCAGGTGTAGCAACAAGCACCTTTTGCCTGCTGAACTAGCCTACCAGCCCCTCTTCAGTAGGTATCAAAACTAAGTTGCTCATATTATTGTTTTCTTCCTTTCCAATGTTTCTTTAAGAATACTGAAAGAATGTTCATCTTTTACGGAATGTTTGGAAGCATAGCATTTTATAGTATTCAAGATTCCTTGAGAATTTTAGGATAAATTATTCTCCTTATAAGGCAGAATAACTACTAGATTCTTTGTTGAATCAAGGAAAGACTAATCATAAAACAAGAAATCAAGCAAAATCTGTTTGTGTTTATCTACCTGCAAGATTTATGCACCCAGCCCACAGAAGGCAAGTCTGCCATGTTGTACAGACTAGCCTTTCTTCAATTTTGGTCCTTTTCGTGCAACTCAAAATGTCCGTGATGCTCAGAAGCTGGGAAGTACATGAGAACAGTACAGCACTGCTCTGTGAGAGCTTCCTCATATTCGCTGTACAAGCCTGGCCCATACCTTCCTGCAGTGTGTCACAACAATGCCATCCTCCACAGAGTTCACCTCACACATGCTGGGAACACCACTCCCATAGGAAGCATAGTTTTTTGATAGGTATGTTTCACATATGCTAGGAGACACATATCCAAGCACTTTGACAGCCCTGAACCCAAGCTCGAACAGCATCTTCAGCAAAGAACATGCTTTGTTAGAGACATGGCAAGACAAAGGGGAAACCTTGAGTTTCTTCAGGTGGCAGTCTTGGGAATGTGGAGAGATACCCTGGGAGGGCAGAGTAATACAGCTTGCTCCATAGAGCACTCCAATATGGTCTGGAGGGCTCCATTCAGTCCACACTTGTCTTTAGTGGTCATTCTTTGCCTGCTGTGCTTAGTACAGTGACACTGAAGAGCTGCCATGGAGTGTGTCCCCAGTCAGTACCCATGAGCTGAGTCAGTAATTTGTAAAGTATTTTCAAAGGCTTCCTAAAAATATGTAAACAGTTCCTCAGGCTCTCAAAACAGAAGCATGTAGCTTGCCCGCATGCCCGAAGCAAATGTTTACACTGACTTCAAACGATTTGTTGACATTAATGTGACTGATTAGTGTGGGAAAAATCACCTCGGAACAGAGTAACAGTAACAAGGAAGTAGGATAGACAAGGTATAATCCCAGAAAAGTGTGTAACATTGTGTGTTTGTGTAAAATTGGATTATATGATGGTGAATTCTAGAGGACCAATGGTATAGGGACTGGAGACAAGTCTCATATGTAAAGGACTTTGATACCATGCTAAAAATTCTACCACATCATCAGAGGGTGAAGATATCATTGGAAAGTTCTACTCAGGAGAATGCCTTTGTATACATATGGTATTTATACATGGATAGCATATATATATGTATGTATATATATATTGCATACACATGTACAGTAAATATGCATATGCTGTATATGTGTATAATATACACACATATACATATATATATGTATATATTTCAACTGTCAGAATTTTTAGTATGCCTGTCTCGTCTGCCAAGCTTAGCTGATCCACTAGTTTTGGTCACTGACACATAGTATGAATACAATAAAATTATGGTCAATGAATAATATTTCTAACTAAAAGTTGAGGTAACAATTGAAATTAGTATAATAATCTAAGAAGTTAATTGGTCTGTTAATAACTTCTTGGAGTCCAGTAGGAAAGGATCATCTGGGAATTAAAGCAAATGTGTCTCCTCTCAGTTCAGGGTACGTGGACCGAGTTTGGGAGCTCTTGAAGGAAATATTGCCGGAATTTAAGCTAGTAGAAGATCACAGTTCTGAAAGCAAACTCACAGTAATAGACAACAAACTGAAGGAACCTGGGAAAGAGATAAAGGATAGCAAGGAGGTGAAAAATGGGAAGGAAGTGAAAGATGGGAAGGATTTCAAACCGGAAATTTCCGTTACAACCCTGAAGGCTCCGGAGAAAAGCGACAGACCTGCCAAGGGTAAGCATTGGAAGGGACACACAGGGCCGTGGTGTAGAGATGATTCGCAGTCCCTGTCAAAGCTAATACTTTTTTGATGTGGCTACCATTTCTTAACTCTCCCTTTGATTTTTAGAACTCTCATTGATGTGGACTATAGGTAGTTATTGCCTCAAACCTTCCTTTTAGTAAATACTAAAGACAACTCTCAGTTTTTCTAATAGTAAATTACTGCTGTATTAGAAGGAGGCAAGATACTGAAGTCTAAATCTCTATTAGGATATTTTCTCATATTTATATGCAGAGTGGGATGGACCCACACAACAAAATAGAAAGCTTACCTTGTCATTTTCAGAGAATGTGATATGAGCATAGGTTACATAAATTATAAATATATCATAAGATGGAGGTTCAAATCTGAAGAGGAATATTTTGAATTATTTTCATAAAGTGTATAGTCATTTCTATTTTCAAGATGAAAAGCTGATTTAATAATAATTCATTTTGTGTCTACTGAACTATTTTGTAATTATGTATATGAAGAAACTGCTTGTGAAGTAGAATTATATCTACTAGAAAGCACTGAAGTATTTCTGTGTATTTTGGTTAAATGTTCCTTTGGATATTTATGTTTTACAATGTATTAACTTTTGTCAGAATTATTCTCTATCAAGATTGTTTCTAACCAGGGAGGGAGAGAGAGACAAGAAGATCACAAATTGTAGCCAGTCTGGGCAGACATGTGAGCTGTAGTCTACTCAATCCAAAGGTTATATTCAGTGGTGTAACACTTGCACAGCATAGGCAAGGCCTTAATTTTGAATTACAGCTCTAAAAAGGCAAAGAAAAATTGATAAAATATCTTATCTGCTTGTATTCTTACCATATATTATATAGAAAATTTTACTTCAGATTTTCAAAAAATGTATCAAGATCAGAGGTTTGAGCAATGTCCCAGGCCTATCTTGATGAAAATAAACAATAAAGAATGTGAGTGGATTCATTTCTTTCAGTATATTCCCAGTTACTTTTCTTCTATAAGCCCTTTTTGATGTTTCACAAATTAATATCCAAGCATCCAACCACTAATACTCATCTAAATATACTCTTTGATGATAAAAGTACTGGTACTTTGCTAGGAATTGGTGATAAACTTGGTAAATAGAAATGTGTGGAACTACCTACCTTCTGAACCTGACAGCCTAGTGGGAAACACTAATAAAAAGGAAGTTATGCAAGTCAGACACTGAAAAATGAACTTTGAAGATGTAGGAGGCTGTGGCAGTTAGCACATGGTAACAATGACTGGCTGATGAGGGAGAGGAAAAAGTAGCCTGAGAAGGGAGACAAGAAAAGACAAGTGTGCCAGCATTAAGATCAAGGGGGGAAGTTCCTTCAAGAATAAGAAAGGTTGGGGCTGGAGGGATAGCTCAGCCATTAAAGGCTAGGCTCACAACCAAAAATACAAGAATAAGAAAGGCTGTATACAATATTGTAGCTAGATGAACTGTGATGTGAACTTCAGTTTCTCCCCTAGATAGTTGGATGTGGGAGTTAATGAACACTGGGAATGGAACATATGGAAAGCCGTGAAAGACAGCCAAGGAAACAGGAAGAGCATAATACATAGACAAGTCTGTGAGAAATCTGGCCTTGAAGAACAACAGAGTACTGAAACCGAAGCTCGTAGTTATTAGTGTGAGATACGATATGGTTATTAGTGTGAGATACACAGATATGGTTATTGGTGTGAGATACACAGAATATGTATTTGTTAATCTAGTGAAGGAGAACTAAGCAGTTCCACAGGGTGGCCCTCCATTGAGTGGTGGATTGCATTCTTCCTCCTGTCTCAGGAAACTGACACCAACACTGTCATTTAAGATGTATCTTCCCAGGAACCATGTAGAACTGTTGAGTTCCCCTCAGCCCTGGGGAACAGTTGCTTCATTCTAATGCTCAGGCACAGGTTGTATAGCCATGGGTGAACAGATACAGGGATAGGTAAGTCCACACGCTTGGTTTGGAAGAGGTTGAGGGTTTCTGACAAAAAATAATTGAATATTGTCTGGTTCTGGGAAACCTAGTCATGAGCTGAAAATGAGATTGAGATGGAAGATGGAGACTTGATGGAAATTCAGTAGCAAAGTGGTGATGTTTGTGGAACTAGGGGAGGATAATGTCCAGTAACATTCAGCTGATAAGTTTAACATTCAGTTTATAAGTGAGGTTTGATAAACTCATGAAATTCTATGACAAATGACACTTATATTAGTCTAGTGGCAAACACTAATAGCCATTTGTTTTTATGGGATATAAATCAAATTCTACATAGAAATTTGAATGTAAATTTTAATTTTAAAATTGTAAATGAAATCACATGTTGCTACCCCAAATTAGCCTAATTAAATTCTGTTGTTATTTATACAAAATAAAGTTTTATTATTAATCTAGTTTTTAATACTTAAATTTCTCAAACATTTTAGCCCATATTGAAATAATATGTTTGTATACATTTAATTCAGACCCAGAAAACAGGCTTATTTTCTATACTAAGTGACATCTATAATAAGGTCCCTGTATAGCTAGGAATAAACTTGTAATGCATGCTTTGATGTTTTTGTTTGCTTTTCATTTTTAAGATGACAAAATTAGTCTGACATCACAATTATATATAAATAAAATACATCAAAGGGGCTGGTGAAATCATTGCCTGGTTAAGAACACTTCAGGTAAAGCATGAAGATCTAAGTCTAGAGCCCTAGGATCTGAGTCTAAATCTCCAGGATCTGAGTCTTGATCCCCAGGATCGAAGTCTAGAGCCACAGGATCTGTATCTAGAGTCCCATGGTCGGAGTCAAGAGCTCCAGAATCTGAGTCTAGAACCCCAGGATCTGAGTCTAATTCCCAAGGATCTGAGTCTAGAGCCCTAGGATCTGAGTCTAGAGCCGTAGGATCTGAGTCTAGAGCCCTAGGATCTGAGTCTAGAGCCCTAGGATCTGAGTCTAGAGCCCTAGAATCTGAGTCTAGAGCCCTAGGATCTGAGTCTAGATCCCCAGCATCCACAAAGAGAGCCTGGGGCTGCCTGTGTAACCCCAGCACCACTGGGGGCAGAAGCAGGAGGATTTGTGGCGTTTACTTGCCAGTGAGTCCAGCAGAAACAGTAGGCTCCAGGTCCAGTGAGGGAGAGAGAAAACTTGTCTCAAAGAAATAGAGGAAAAAGTGAGAGCAGGATGCCAACATCCTCCTGTGCATGTGCATACACCAAAGGTACTCATGCTCACAGACACACCAATGCATTCAAGTCACTGTCTGCATACAACACAAAACTATGAATAATAGCTTAGTTATTATGTATAATGCTAATTTTGTCCAGTTTTCACAGCCCATTATTAATTTTTAGGATTGTTTTCTCTAGCTTAATGTGATATTTCTAACCAGAGGAGATTGCATTTTGGGAGAAGTCAAGGCTGCAGTTTTACACTTATGTACTATCATTTTGGCCTTCTTAGGACACACTAACAAAATATGTAGCACCATCTGAGGTTTTCTAGATAAAAGATTTACCATTTTTTCTTAATGTGTTAGAGAAAGCAGATGCAAAAGACCTTGGGAAGAAGAAGAAGGATGGAGAGAAGGAGAAGGAAAGATTCAAATTTTCAATCCATGGTTCAAGACCCTCATCCGATGTTCAGTACTCTATGCAGTCCTTGTCAGAGTGTAAGCTCTCAGTCTCTTACTGTAACTACCGTAGACACTGCCTAAGCCGATAGAAAATGTCAGAACATAGAAAAGTACACTTTCTCTTCTGATGTATCTAAGTAAGCATGTTCAAGTTTTCCCTCAAACTTTGGGTCCTTCATGTACATGATGGGTTTGTATGCTGTTAGGAGATAAAAAACAAGCAAAATTGCCCTTGGAAATGATTCATCTTTTGAAAAGAACTAAATGCTGCTTTCTCCCTTTTCTTGGTGACAGTAAAATCAACAACCTCCCTCCCTCCTTTAGAAGTCATGATTAAATTCATGATGATACACACCTTTAATGCCAGCACTCTGGAGACAGAGGCAGGTGATCTTTGAGTCAGAGGCCAACCAGGGCTACACAGTGAGATCCTGTCCCAAAAACAAAACAAAATGAAACAAAACAACAACAACAAAAGCAAAGAACCAAATCAAACAACAACAACAAAACCAAGGAAGTCATGAATATATAAGATGTGACTCAGGTTGGGGCTTGTGAGCTCTGCTTCAAGTCAGGACTTTGCTTCCATACTGGGTGTGTGAGTACCAGGTTAGTGAGTGAACCCCTTTACAGCCAGGCTCCCTGCCTTCCATCACCACAGCAGCATCTATGAGTTTCTTAGAACTAAGAAGTAAAGCCGAATCATTCATCTGTTGGTATGTCACAGGTATGTCACACTTCAGCATATTCATGACAACAGTTTCAATTCTTAAAAGTGCCTAAGACGGAAGCCTGGGTTCCTCTGATCTCCACAGGGTGGATGTCACCTGACATAAATAAGAGAGTGAGTGCCTGTGTAGCCTCCCTTCTCCTACGCAGCTCATTTTAAGTGCATTTAGAAGATGCATTTCCTTCCATTGGCTGCTTTAGTTTTATTTATAGTCGGTTATAGACGAACCCTGAGTAATCAAACGATAGCTGACGTGTAGACACAATTCCTATGGGAAAGAATGACTTGATTTTTATATTATTTGTATCCAATTTGACAATAGAAATAAAACATGCTTAAGCTAGCTCTGAGAAGGCATGGGGAATTTAAATTAAAAGACCTATGTTTTATTAATTTTCGGATTAATATGTTTATCACAGCTGCATCTACATAAAATGACATTCATAGCTTTAAATTTTATAAAGAAGATAAAGTAAGGTAATAAGTTGTGTGCTTACATTTCTATAATGTCTACTGCAGTCTATTACATGCTAATAACTATGTGAAATTTAAGGGTTCCCCAAGTTTGTTATTTTCAAAGTAAACATATTCATGAGTACAACTTACAAATGATTCAAATAGTACAGTTCATTTTATTTTTTAATTACATGAAATTAAGGTTATTTATGATAGTCAAAAGTTCTAAGTAGTATTTAAGAGAAATGTGGTCCTGTTGTAGAGTTCTAACACCTTTAGCCATGTAGATTCTAAAGTTCTTTGCCAGGAGAAGTGGGGAAAGAGATGGGATGATTACATCTGATATCCTTAAGGACCGAACTCATTAACAGTAGGTCACTTCTGTTTATACTCCATTTCAGTCACAGTTGGCTCTACCTGCCATTGTGAGTTGGAGAGACACTGTTTGGCTAGATATTTTAGAGAAACAGGGCCCCCTCTAGTGGACGTAGCTAACCTTGGTCAGATTTTACTTCCCTGGCCCCGAGATACCCATTTCCTCCTTTCCATAAATGTGTATTCAGTACTTTAAAAATCCATGATCTAAACTATCCAGTAATTGCATCTAGCTCACTGACACACATACACCCACACCTCATCTCATGAATTGCTGAAGACATATTAACTGCAATATGAGTTCCCATTCATAAAAGGAAACAGAGGGTGAGTTGTAGTCACTGGTCATTGCCAACTATGAAATTCTTCAGAGAAAGCTCTTTGTAGACCTTTGTTCCCACAGATGGGAAGCCTATTGGCTCTGATTGTGGTATTTTGAAACAACCCCAAATGAGTTGCAAGTGAGTTTGCAAGTCCAGGAAGTTGATCTTCAGAGTTCACCCATTTCACCACTGTATTGTCCTTCCCCTCCATATCTGTTGATAGAGCAATCCTTAAATGTTGAACAATTTCCTGACCAACTAAATTTAAAATGTAACTTAAAACGAAACTTGAATTCAGATGGTGGCATTGATGAAAAAAAAAAACACGTAGGTTTTAGCATATGAATGATCAGACCCTTCCAATATGTGACCAAAAATTTACCAGAAATACTAGCTATTTGATAACTTAGATTTTGTAACTTAGCAAGAGTTTAAAAATGTATTACAAAGGAGCAAAACACACTAAGACTAGAATAGAATTTTGTGACATTATAAGGAAGGTATTTTCTGAGTATGGGAGAGATTGCCAAATTTTGTAATTTTCACTCTCCAATTAAGAACAGTTATGTTGTGTTTTCCCCCAGATTCTTTTAAAATTAGATTAGTCTGAGCTATAATGCATGAAACATGAGCAGGAATGATACGCCTCACTTCAAGTTTGATCATGGGATACCCCCATGCATAAGTCTCCTTTTGCTCTCCTGACACTGTTGAGAGCATACTGTCAAAGACAGAAAAGTCATGGGCGGAAAGAGTAGAAGACAATGAAAAACTATGCAGAGACCCTTCTGTGAATCTGTAATGTCCACTTCATACTATATTCAAGCAAAAGGAAACTAGCAACATTGGTGGCTGTTAGAGCAGTTGGAATCACTTAGTGATGTATGAAGCGTTGCCAAGGTTAGATTGCCAGTTACAAGGTGAACATATGTGGGCCCCGTTTAGCAGTGGGGTGTCTGACAATAGGAAGGAAGTGTTGCAAGCTGACCCTCGCCAAGACCTAGACATTCACCACAGAAAAACTAGAAGCTGTTACACGTTGGAAAGTGGTGATTTCAGAAATACATGGTAGAGTGCGTATTAATGTGCACAGTGTTCATTTATAATATCTAGTCTTAATATGGTACTGAAAATAAAAGATAAGCCTGGCATTAAAAACAAAAGAAAAGCAGAAATGTCAGAGATCTAATAACTACAAGATTAAGAAGGCCACTTCTCGACCACAAATACGTTGACCTAAAACTTTTAAGATGACCATGATTTTCATACATGTGTCATTAAACTTTGTTGCTCCTCTTCCTCCCTCCCACTGAACACCCTTTACCTCCTCCTGGCTTGTTCCTACCCTTTATCCAAATAGTATCCCTTCACATCATATATGTTCCATTATGCTCTTTTTTACCCCTCTCTTAATATGTCTTACTCCTCTATCATAATCCTTGTTCTAATTTTGTGGCACCTGCACACATACACACATATCCATACTCATGCACAGTATCAAACTGAATTTCTGCATATATGAATTAATTATAAGCCTGTTAAAATTATTTTGTTGTTGAGTTTTGCATCATATTGTAGAATTAAAAACACGTTTTGGTGGAAACCGACCTGACAAGCCTTGTGGTCAAACTATTCTTTTGTTATTGCTATAAAAACAGCAGTTCTTAGCCTGGCGGTGGTGGCGCATGCCTTTAATCCCAGCACTCGGGAGGCAGAAGCAGGCAGATCTCTGTGAGTTCGAGGCCAGGCTGGACCGACAGCCTCTAAAACAATATAGAGAAGCCCTGTCTCGTAAAACCAAAAAAACAAACAAACAATAACAAAAACAAAACAAAAAAACAGCAGTTCTTAACCTGTGGGTTGTGACCCCTTTGAGGGATCAAACAACCCTTTCACAGAGGTCTCCTAAGGCCATTGGAAATACAGATATCTACATTATGATTCATAACAGCAGCAAAATTACAGGAATAAAGTAGTAACGAAATAGTTTTGTGGATGGGAGTCAGCACAACTTAAGGAACTATATTAAAGGGTCACAGTGTTAGCAAGGTTGAGAACCCCTGCTCTAGAGAATAATGGATAATGAGTTACCAGACAGACTAGGCAATCCCTTCACACTCACTCCTCACATTTATACAGACTAGGCAATCCCTTCACACTCACTCCTCACATTTATACAGACTAGGCAATCCCTTCACACTCACTCCTCACATTTATACAGACTAGGCAATCCCTTCACACTCACTCCTCACATTTATACAGACTAGGCAATCCCTTCACACTCACTCCTCACATTTATACAGACTAGGCAATCCCTTCATACTCACTCCTCACATTTATACAGACAAGGCAATCCCTTCATACTCACTCCTCACATTTATACAGACTAGGCAATCCCTTCACACTCACTCCTCACATTTATACCTCCTAATCTTGCATCGTGGATATATTTCTTTACCTATATTCAATTTAGTTTTCTAACCTGGAAAAGCAATGCCATATAACTTATTTCAGAGGGTTTGTAAGAGCACTGACTCATGTAAAATGCTGAGGGCAGCAATTAATACATAGGAAACATTCAATGAAAGTCGGCCACTCTAACAAACTGAGTATCACCTTTGAAGACACATTTATGACCTTTGACAAGCATTTATGGTAGTATTTGTAGTAATTTTGTAATGAGTTGGAGTTCATCTCCTGGTAAATCAATGAAACAGGCTGAACGTGTTATATATTAAGACAATATAGTTAACAGAGGGTGAATCAATGATAGAAGTGATACTTAAGTAATTCCACATACCAGATAGCAGAGCTTCCTGATATATACTTATAGAAATGCAGAGAGCATCATTCCCTATAAAATGAGACATCTAAATCATAACAACATGGTGAAACCCCTAGGCAGAAAACACTTATAATTAAAATGGCAGTTTAGCAAGGAGGAGACTCGTTTATTTTAAAAAAATATCGTGTGACCATTTTAGAAGTTAGGATCTTAAATGTCATCTCTTCATATCAAATTGGTTTTTTTCTCCCTCCCTTCATATCAGTCAATTTTAAACATGCTGGAATACAAGGGCTGCCTGTTTCATATTCTAAAAAGTTAGACGAGGAAATCACATGCTTTCTGTCAGAGTTGTGAAAAAATGATATTGTGGAGCCCTTGGAGTCAAATGTTTACATTTAGGATTTTCTAAAATTGCTTGTGTTTAAATCTAATAAAACAAGAGGGCAATGCAATGTTGTAACTTTGTAAAATAAAATGGCATGGCAACAGAGAGACAATAGCTACATATGGGTTATCTGAGTTCATTATAAGCAATTCTTGCTACTTAGGGATAACAGACACTTTTAGAATTTTAGAAAAGTATTAACCCCCTCGCAGAGGACTATGGGAAGTTTAGGTTTATCCCAGAATACTCTGAAGGTTTCAGGCCAGCCTCAGCTTTGCCCTTGCACCTTGTCTCATAAGCCATAAAGCAACACCAAAACAATTGTTACAGAAAGGACTTCAGAAGATCCGATGTGCAATGCTGAATGATGGAGTACAATTTAGGCAAAACACTTTTATACATAAAGATGTTAATATTAAAATTTAGGAAGAAGTTAATGTGATGGGTGATTTTATGTCTCTAATGAACCATGGGGTACTCAGAAATCTGGGCAAACATTGTGTGAAGATGCTTTTTGGATGATATCAATATTCAGATCAGCAGGCAGAGTGAAGCTGCCCATCTTCTCTCCTGTAAAGGAACCTCATCCAATCAGGTAAATGCTGGGTACAAAGAGGCTGGCCTTCCTCCCCTTGCCTACAGACTCAGATCAAAACATTGACCCTTCTTGGGACTGGAGTCGTCTTTAGATAAGAACTACTCATTGCTTCACCTGAGTCTCCCCCAGCTGCCCTACTCACCCTGAAGATTGACTATATATGGGTGATAATTACATGGGCCAACACCTAATAATCACTCTTTCTGTATCAGTCCTGTTTCTCAAGTGCAACAGGATTAATGCAGGTGTTGCTACTATGACTTAAAGTGCTGATACAACAAATACTAAAAAATAGGGGGATGAACTTGCAACTGAGTGATGTATGGATGCTTGGAATATTTTGAAATGCACACTCAAAAAAAGCCTGGATGACTCTGCAGGGATGGTTGGTAAGAATTCCACATGTGACAGATGCTGTGGGACAAGCCCTCGCTGGAAACAAGGAAGATGTGATGTGACTTGACCGTGAAGAAAAGGCAGTTCTTACTATGAACTGGAAAGGAGGTTGCTGGAAGTGTTTTGTAGAAGCAACAGCCTGTGAACAGTGGCATTGGATATTTGCCTGAGGTGGTATCTTAGCCCAGTGTTGGGCATAAGGGCTAAGTTCTTTACTATGAGTTGTAACATGAAAGAAGAAGAAGAAAGGAAAGAATCATGAACCTGAAACCAATAAACATTTGAATGCTAGTAAAAAATTTCAGTCTAACCTTATTCTAAAACTAGAAAACTTGTAAAAGAATGCCGAAGACGTGGCTTGAAACCACGCATGAGGAAGTTACTCACAGGTCAAGTCCACAAAGAGTAGGGATAGAAATGGTGTCACCCACATAGAGGCCCTCTTGTAGAGGAGACACGGATAGAATGAAGGAAGGCTGTTGTTCTGTAATTCTGTAGACCAGACCATAGACTTATTTGGCTATGAATGAATATGCAGGCACGTTCGAGATGATCCAGAGATAATCAGGACTTCATCTCACCAGGCCACCAGGAAATAAAGCCGTTTCTCACTCAGTTGCAGAGGGTGAGCCCTGCTCCTTACTTTTAGTACCCCTGCCACCCCTGTGAAGAGCCAAATAGGCCTCTTTGCTAGGGCTCTTTATGGGTGAAGCTACTGCAAAATGTTCTCACATGTTCGCTGGCCAATAAGGTAAGGCCTCCACTGAATGCCTAAGGGTGTGGGGGGACAGTGGACTGAGCAGACTGAGGAACCAACCAAGAAAACTATCCTGAACATAAGATCAGTGGAATTTGCCTTGCTAAATTTTTGTGCTGACTGGGGTGCCTACCGGTCCTATGCTTGCATCTCCATTGTATTTAGGAGTCACATTTCTTATCCAGTATCACAGGCTCATAGCCATGTAAGAACTCTAGGAGATAATTTCATTTTTATTTACAGCTGAACAAAATTTCATTATATATATGTAAACAAACAAACAAAAATTAATTGCAGAAGTTTTGCCTCAAGATGCGTCCTACCTTAAGTCTTACTGGAGGTGAGTTAGATATTTCAGCGACATTTTGGACTTGGGGTTGATGATGAACTAAGTTAAAACTTTTGGTGCTGTTGTCCTGGGTGGAAGGAATTCATGTATGTGGATGACATAGTTTACAGATGAGCAGAGCATCATGGAGAAGATTGTTTCTCTTTTATATTGATATATTGAAGTCATAACCGCTAATATGAGTGTGTTTTTGTAGATTCTTTAAGGGTGGTAGTTAAGGTTAAATCATTATAAAAAGAGGAAAAGATACCAGATATATTTTCCCCTCTCTTTTTCTTATTTCCTTCCCTTTCTCCTTCCTTTGTCTCTTCCTGTCCACTCCTTCTTTCTTCTGTCCCTTCCATAAAAGAGGCCACAGGGAGAAGGTAACTGTCTAGTATCATGTTGGCAAGAATGTTCATGGTCCACATATGTTCTTTTCCAGGTTCGTCAGCAATACAGTCCCCTCATATGGTTGTGTATGCCACCTTTACACCACTCTATTTATTTGAAAACAAGATCTTTACATTAGAGAAAATGGTAAGCATTCAAAACCAAAGATACCATGTTCTCATGTGTAGTGATCGGGAGGTGTGTGCTCCTCGACTAAGGCACTGGAACATCCAAAGTTATCAAGCTGCTTATAGTACTATCTATATAAAGGTAAAATACAATCACATTTGATTTTAAAATATTTTATATTATGTACAAAAGAAAAGATAGAGGAACTATATATTTCAGTGAAACTTATGAGGGTCATTTCTGATATCACTTTTCCATGACTCAATACACATGTGTTCTTAAAGTGAGATAATATACATAAATTTGCACTCAGGCTGGAGAGCCACAATCATGACCGTCTTGTTTCATATAATAAGGCAGAATAAATGCTTCCTACTTTTAAACAATAATTTAATCAATAACAGAACAGTTAGTAAACTGTCAAAGGCAATACAACTGAATTATGTATAGTGTAAACAATCAGGCATAGACACTATATATGTTGGTATACATTCTTCGGTTTCCTTCATATGCATTTATTCTATGTTGAGCTCTATACTGTTTTCCAGTGTGCAGTCTTATTTTAAGTTCCATTTGGAAGCTAGTTTTTAATATAACTGTTTTCCCTATGGTGTCACATTTTAATTAATACATTTAGTGATTAAATAACATTTATGAAATTTCACAACATTTTAGCAACTTTTTATTCTTTGGGGAAAAATGTAAATTCTCTCCTCTCATAATAATAACATCTATCAAGTTACTTCACAGTTTATTTAGACTAATGTTGTCATACATTGAGGACTTGTTCCATCTGGCCCTGTGTGGGGACTTTAGACACCTAGTACCTTACCCCTGGGGTTCTCTGTGCTGTAAAGCCACTATATTAAAGTGTGAGGATAGTGGGTACAGTGATGTAATTGTACATGAATATCCATTGTGTTAGTCAGAGTTGAATTTCAAAATTTTAATGAGAAGCAGCTTGAAAAGTAAGTATTCCAATAGGTCCATGGTTGCCACATGTGTCTCATTCATCTTTTAGATTTGCCTGAGAGCTCAATACCATCATTTCAGAAGCCATTATTACCACCAAAGTCTACCATGTGACATTAGTAACATAAGAGCGGAGGACACCATATGCCAGCATGAGCACAGGGACAGAGGCAGTTTCTTCTCTTTTTAATACAAAGTTCAGTAACAGAGCCATGGTTGAACAGCAGAATGAGAAACTTTCTCAGTGTCTGGAAATCAGCAGCTCCCCAGAATCCAATGTGTGCCAAAGCTCCTCTCAAGCCAAACCTTCTGTTGACTTCAGGGTTGGTCTCCTTTTCCTTCATGTGTGTCATGGGCACCTTCTCAGACACCCTTGATGGTAAAAACTCAATGTATGAATCACTAAAGGACATCCGTCATATTTTATAGTGTGTCATGCCTCATATCCAGGAGATACTCAAACTGATTATGAAAACTCTAACACTCGATACACATTAATTCATGCATTATAATATGTGTATGCTGTGGAAAGGGCAATATTCTTTGCTCTTCAGTCATAGAGATGAGTAACATAGTGTAAATTCCTCACCACAAAGCTCAGAGACTATAATTAAGTGGATAACAACAATTAGAAAATTGTTATAACAGAGTATATTAGATACTTGGGTAAACACTATTTGTTGGAGTAATGGCACAACTGAATACCTATCTGAACGATGGGGAAAAAACCATCATGGGAGGAACAAGACACAAAGCATTGACCTTTCCCCTAGTGGGAAGCTTTAGAGGTCTTCCCAAAGGAAGCAAACTGTTTAACCTAACCTGAGGTGTAAGAAGTTATGCTAGTGAATAAGAAAAGATGTGCTCAAAGCAGAGAGATTATGTTGGAGGGCAAGGCAGCCACATAGACACCATGTTCTGGGAACTAACAGAGACTGGGTTAATTGCAGAGAAATTTCAGAAGCAGCTCAAGTTATAGAACTAAGGACAGAATATTCTCCACAAAACCTTTTCTTTTCCCTTAGACACAGTATGGTCATGTAGCTCAAGCTAGCCTAGAATTTGTGATCTTCTTACCTCGAACTCCTGGGTGCTGGGAATACATGTGTACCACAAAACCAGTTTAAACCTTCGCTTTGGGTGCCATAAAGGGATGAACTTGTCAAAGACTCTGGAACCAATCTATTGTCTGTAACATGATAACAAAGGGCCCAATCCATCTGTTGATTCTTTTAGGTTGACTTGCTAAGAGGTTGATGTAGTTCCCCTGTAAATGTCAAACTAGAATAGAGAATATGAATGCACTATTTTAATTGTAAATCCATAGAAAATGGTGTCTTCCCTATTGAAATTTTGTAAAATGGAGTATAACATTAAAGTTACAGCCCCAAAGAGTGTTAAAATCAGCATAAATAGTTAACTTGCATTTAGTTAAGAAGCAATAGATTACAGAAGAACAGAACAAAACATCATGAGATACCCTATATGATCCAATACCCTGCCTCATCATGAACTACCCTATGTGATCCAATGCCCCTCCTCTTCTTTACGAACTATGCTACATGATCTAATATCCTTCCTCATCACAAACTATCCTATGTGATCTAACACCCCTCTTCACCACAAACTACTCTGTATGATCCAACACCTCTCCTCATCATGAAATGCCCTACACGATCTAACACCCCTCCTCACCACAAACTACTCTGTATGATCCAACACCTCTCCTCATCATGAAATACCCTATACGATCTAACACCCCTCCTCACCACAAACTACTCTGTATGATCCAACACCTCTCCTCATCATGAAATACCCTATACGATCTAACACCCCTCCTCACCACAAACTACTCTGTATGATCCAACACCTCTCCTCATCATGAAATACCCTATACGATCTAACACCCCTCGTCACAAACTACCCTAGGGGATCCATAAACCTCCTCTCAGGCACCCTGGACAGTTCAGGTTTTAGATGAATAAACTTCCACACCTTCCACCTCTGATGTCTTCTTTTAGAGAATTTGAAATAAAACGAGGTATGAAGAAAACAAAATTTCTAGTTTATGTTTTTTGCATGGACTATTCAACAGACATTATTGAAGTACCTAATATGTCTTGGGAATGCTATTCTAAATCTTTCTTTATGCCTAATTCTTGTCTAAAGATCTTTGAGACATTTTAGTGAGGTTTCTTACAATCAAATTGTAACCAGAATTTGTGGAATTACTTACATGGATTAAAAATAAATGAGAATTTGTCATTTTAAAATTTATCATGTTAAATCAGGCCAGTCCTTTGACAGATTGTTGACCTGTGGCATGGAATTAATACCCTGCTTTTTTTCTTCAACTATCATTTTATATTTTCACAGCACTTTATGATATTCTACAGTTCCAAAAATAAAGTTATTTTGACTAAAACATTGTTATTATGAAAGAAAGAGAGAGAGAGACACAGACATAGATAAAGAGACAGAGAGGCAGCGAGAGAGGAGTGTGTTCAAGTTATCCTTGTAAAATGTCTAGAATTTATTCAATTTGTAAATTATTTTGGATGCGGCTACATTTCAGATATTAATAATGTGTAATGCTTACAGTAATGCACCTTAAGCCCTTAAATTCTTCCCCAAGTTTCCAGAAGATTTCTCTCCAGCAGTGATTTGATTTCATGGTGGCTTCTAACACCTAACAAAAAGAAAGTTGTAGGGAAAAGTTTATTCTCTAGATGGTGTATGGAAATGTTTTTTAAGCTACTTTACAAATTACAGAAATTTCTAAATGTTTTTTAGTAAATTGTGATAGTTTATAAGAAAAAAAGAAAGTAACTTTCTAGCAATGAGGATATCAATTTTCTCTAGAATTTCAATTATTATCTATTCCATGATTTTTGAAACCAATAATGTGAAATCATTAGAAAGAAAATAGTTCCAGGAGGAATTGACTTCACTGCAGTTGGTATTTTGTTGTTTTAATTGAAATGTTAAAGCCATCTGTGGTGGTAGTATGGATCAATTCGACTTTCTGTCTCTGTCAGTCAGTCTGTCTGTCTGTCTGTCTTCTATCGCATACTTCAGGCAGCATTTAAGAACTACAATTCTGTTGAAATAATAGCCTGATGTATCCCAAATAAAATAGTTTCATAACTGAATGTTTGACTATGTGACATATCTGCCATGGCAGCTTCTATCCTCACTGTCAATGCCTCCATTGCCTCCAGTGATGGGAGGAACTTCCTGAGGAAAAGCCCACTGTTAGAGGTTGTAATCTATCATAGATAAGGCCACAACATTTGTTTAATGTTTAACAATTGACAGTGAGTCTTACTTTTTTAATTTTTAGATAAATCAAAATTGGTTTTACAGCTTTAACCTAGAAAATACTGCCTACAGACTTTTATATTTTTATTGGAACTTAAGTTCAAGAATGGCCTAATTTTATCTTATCAATAAACACTCTCTCAAAAAACCATAACGATTCAAAGAAATATAAAAGTTAGCATTATTTCTATCAAGGGGTAGAAACATTGGTGTCCCCCATTTCTATGTTGACAAAAGTGGTTTTAGATACAAGAAGTGATGAAAGAAAATTTCAAATATTTTTTCCATCTCTTAGGCGAATTCTGCAGAGAAACTTAGGGAGTATGGGCTTTCGCACATCTGTAGCCACCCTGTGCTGGTGACCAGAAGTAGGTCTTGTCCCCTTGTGGCACCCCCCAAACCTCCTCCGTTACCTCCCTGGAAACTCATTCGCCAAAAAAAGGAAACGGTCATAACAGATGAAGCTCCAGGTACGCACCATGTTGCCCTCCATTCTGATTTACACTTCTTTGGGGGGTTGCCAGTGTCTCCCATGGAGAATGGTACATGCAGAGGTTAGCCACACATCCCTGCACCCAAAGCCACTCGACTCATGTCCAAAGAATGTATTTACAAAATTAAACATGCATACTGTATTTGGACTGTTGGACCCATAGTGGCAGTGGACTACACTAGAGCTCCTCATATATTTGTCTATCTTCTTTCTATTAAATTTAATACATAAAGTAAAACGTTAACAACAATGGGAAGGGCGCTCCGTTCTGAAGGATAGTGCAGAATGATCAGAGGGACTTTGGCTCCTATCTGAGCTCTGTTTCTTTTCCTGTTCTACTTCAGGATTCACCATGGTGGTGTGTGCTGCTCTCCTTTCTCACTGGGAATTTCTTTCTCCTAAAGTAACTTAATCCTCTCTCAGCCTGTTTCCTTGCTATGCACAGGACTTTCTGCTTCTTCTTCCACTGTAGTATCATGAACCAGCTCTCATTCCTCTTTATGTCCCAAGTGGTTGTGTTAAGGAGGTTAATTGAGGGACACCATTTTTTTAAAGAAAACATTTATGTGGAACGTCATCCTTGCACTTCAAGCCCCAGCAAAGACAAAGACTTGTCTAACTTCACCGTTTGAGATAGCACTGTTCTACTCACAGCCGTAAGTAGACAAAAGAAAGCTAACAGTGGCAAGATCTGTAAACCGTTTCACTTATTAAAATGTCTCTGTGATTCCTGTTTAACTCTATTGAAATCCCTGGGTGACGTGTACTCTAACCAGCACTGCATTAGAATCTGAAGGATTCTGGAAGTGGACATCTCACTTAACCCATCGGAACTTTTCAGATGCTGTGCCGAAGAAGCCAGAGCAGTTCCTTGAAATTTCAAGTCCATTTTTGAATTATAGAATGACTCCATTTACGATTCCAACAGAAACGTAAGTATGTGATGGTCTCTCCAGTGAATCTTAGCTTCGCATCTGTGATGTATGTGGTTAAAAGTCACGCTTAATAGGAAGAATGTTTGACGAATATTGAGGCCAAATATACATACATATTTGCATTAAGGGGATGCACACGTTTATGCATACATGTACACCCATGTATATGTATTTAAGGAATGAATTTGAGAGCAAGGGCATTTCAATTACAGTCAGGAAGCATAGACCAATGGATGCTGGTGCTCAACTTCTTTCTTCTTTTCATTCACTCCAGGACCCCAGCACATAAACTGATGCTGTCCACAGTCTTTTTTCACCAAATACTATTTTATTGATTAAGTGGGATAGAGTGGTACAAATAATTGTTTTAAAAGCCTGCATGATAATAATAAATCTCAATATGATTGCCTAAACATGAGTTGAACAAGGATAGCAGCAATAGACATGTTAACATGAACTAGGAAAGCTCAAGAGGCCTCAACACTACACAGAGAACTACAATAAACTGAGGAAAGCTGAGAGCAGGAGAAATGGTCTTCCCTAGAGAAGTACACACAAACTGATTATTCAGTACCAAGTGGTCAGCCCTGAAAACATACATACAAATAACATTATACAGACTAAACAGCCTGTATTATGTGTTTGGGAATATATATGTATATAACAAGTAATGAAAAAAGAGGTATGAATTTGAAAGGGAATAAGAGGAGTACATAAGGAGTTTGGAGATAGAAAAGGGAGGGTAAAGATAATATAATTCTGCTATAATCTTAAAACATAAAAGAAATAATATGAAAATACTGATATAATATTTGCTAGATTTGTGTCTAGTTACTTTTGACTTTTATTCTATTCATTATTTTATTTTTTATTTAAATTAGAAACAAGCTTGCTTCACATGTCAATCCCAGCTCCCTCTCCCTTCCTTCCTCACCCACACCCTCACCAATTCCCCCAATCTCCTCCAATGCCCACTCCGCTCCCCAGGGAGGGTGAGGCCCTCTATGGGCGATCTTCAGAGTTTGTCATTTCATATAGGGCAGGGCCTAGGTCCTCCTCCATGTGTCCAGGCTGAGAGAGCCTCCCTCAGTGTGGGATGGGCACCCAAAGTCCATCTGTATGCCAGGGATAAATAATGATCTACTACTTGGGTACCATACGTGGCTTAGACCTCCTCACTGACACTCACATTCAGGGGGTCTAAATCAGACCTATGCTGACATCTCAGCCAACAGTCTGGGGTCCAAGAGCCCTCCCCTGTCTCTGTGGGTTTCACCAGCCTGGTCTTGACCTCTTTGCTCATCACTCTTCCCTCTCTGCCACTGGGTTCCAGGAGTTCAGTTCAGTGCTTAGCTGTGGGTGTCTGCCTCTGCTTCCATTAGTCCCTGGATGACATTTTGTTTTTTTGTGACTGGGTTACCTCACTCAGGATGGTTTCTTCTATTGTCATCCATTTGACTGCAAATTTCAAGATTTCATTTTTTCCCACTGTACTCCATTGTGTAAATGTACCACATTTTCTCTATCCAGTCTTCAGCTGAGGGGCATCTAGGTTGCTTCCAGATTCTGGCTATTACAAATAATGCTGTTACGGACATAGTGGAACAGATGTCCTTGTTGTATGAATGTGCATCTTTTGGGTATATGCCTAAGAGTGGAATTGCTAGGTCTTGTGGTAGACTGATTCCCATTTTCCTGAGGAATCTCCATATTGATTTCCAAAGTGACTGTATTAGTTGGCGCTCCCACCAGCATTGAAGGAGTGTTCCCTTTTCTCCACATCTTCTCCAGCATAAACTGTCATTGGTGTTTTTGATTTTAGTCATTCTGACAGGAGTAAGAGTATCTTAGAGTTGTTTTGATTTGCATTTCCCTAATAGCTAAGGATGCTGAACACTTTCTTAAGTGTCTCTCAGCCATTTTAGACTCCTCTATTGAGAATTCTCTATTTAGTTTTGTACTCCACTATTTAATTGGATCGTTGGTGTTTTGGAGACTTGCTTTTTGAATTCTTTGTAAATTTTGGAGATCAGCCCTCTGTCCGATGTGGGGTTACTGAATATCTATCCCATTCTATATATGCTGCCCACAGTTAATGGCAGCTCAATTTGACTCAATCTAGAAACTTCCTCACAGACATACCCAGAGGTCTTTCTCTTTAGTGGTTCCAGATCCTGTGAAGTTGACAATATTACTCATCACAGGCTGTGGTAGATGTATATGCCATCAGATATGGTTCAGTCTTTCCTGGGATATGCCATGGATTATATCCATGATAGAAATAGAAACTGATAAGAAAAAAAGCAGTCACAATTTAAATGCTCAACTCAGTGAACGTTTTACTTTTCAGCACACTTTATACCATAGCCAATTAATAAGTTAACTTATACTGTCTTACTCTAGTTAAGTTTAATATATTAGACACATTTTCTTAATCAGTTAGCTTACACCTTCTTACTCTATTACTTTTAACACTTTGTGCACATTCTTGACATCTTTTACCCTTTTTGTGTTTCTATCATGTATGGAAGAGTTATTTATTTTTTTGTTTTTTTTTTCTTCTTTTTTATTTATGCTTCATAGTTTTCCCAATTATATTTATACTGAAAGATCTTCAGAGAAACATAACCTATATATGCATGAACAGATGTTAGCTTGAACAATGGTATAGAAGCCAGACAACTACATTCTGGAGGAATTGGCTTCATGGACATGGTGTTTGTAACGTCTCATGAGAGACTATTTGCATTTAGAGGACTGGGTAGGCAATTAGCGTGGGTATCAAATGCAAGCCTTAGAAGGACAGGAAGCAGCAGTGTGGCTTCCATTTGGCTGAAGGATCAGGGATGCCACTGTACATTACCTGGAGTTCAAAGGGCAGAGACCCTGGGGTTGTGATGACCATGAGCAAGGAAGGAATAATCCGCGACAGTAGCTCTTGACCTTCCTAATGCTGTGACTCTTGAACAGTTCCTCATATTGTGGTGGCTCCCAACCATCACATTGTTTCATTGCTTCAGAACTGTATCCTGCTACTGTTTTGAATTGTAATGTGAATATCTGAAATGTAGGATATTTGATATGTGGTCACAACCCACAGTTTGAGAACCTCTGGTCTAGGTACTAGAAAGTAAAAGTTTTCCCTCAGCTGTTGTGTGCTATCCAGGCCTACTGCTGAGTGGACAGCGTCTGCCTACATTGTGTAGACAACTTTCCAACTCAGGCCACTGATGCCCATGTTAATCTCCTTCAAAAGCTGCCTCACAGACACACCAAGAAGTGAAGCTTTCCAGTTACCTAGGTATGCCTTAGTCCAGGTTAGTTGACACCGGGAATTGTTCATCATCTAAGATTTCAATTTTCCATCCCAATACATATTGGGATCTTTGAGCTTTCATATGACTGCTTTTGCATACTAATTAGGGGTTATATGGGCTATAAAAACTGAAGCTGCTTATCAGTGGAACACGTTTCCTACTGCTTATATTAGCATACTTAGCATAGTAATTTCTATGTTTATAAGGACAAAAATGGGTTGATTTCATAGCCCGAGTTACCCAAGTTATTCCCATCCCTGATTTTCTGTAACTTCTTCTAGCTTTACTATTTGATTAAATTAGATAAATTTCTAATACCCGGAAACAGGCAACCATTGCTTGATTGGCTTCCACTAGTCTATTACCCACTGTAATCTGTTATGAATTCATTCCCATATCCAAGTTCTGTGGCAAAGCTAAAGGCATGTGAATGCCATTGCATTCTCTGTGGAAGACATGTCCTAGACCTGTTCTGTTATATATTCATATTTTTCGTGTCAGCATAAGAGCAATCCCCAGGGAAACGACTATTGTCGTGATTTCCTTTCATGGAAATTCCACTGCTATAGCAGCATGCTTGCTCATTCTTGGCTTATGGTTGTATGAGACAATTGCAGCCTCATAAATATGTTTCTACTACCCTCTAGTGGAAATTGTGTATAAGTTGGAGAATTCAATCTAACTAAACACTGTGAAATCCTAGTTCATGAAGTCTATGTGAGTAAAAATTATTTTCCTTTTGCTTTTGAGACAGGGTCTCACAATGTGACCTTGCCTGACCTAGAACTTGATATGTAAACCAGGCTGGCTGAGAACTCAGAGATCCATCTGCCTCTGCTTCCTGAATGCTGTAATTAAAAGTAGGCACCACCATACTCTGCTATATGTGCAGAATTTGATTTTGTCTTTGAAACAGTTGTATGAAATACAAATACTGTGATAGACATCTCATGTGCTGATGAAATTTGTGCTACAATGATGGTGTTTTGAACGGTGACAATGAGTTCTTGAGGAAGTGACTTGGGTGGAGAATAAGAAAGTCACACTTAGAAGCTTAAAATGCAACTCTTCAGGATTAAATTTCCCACACCAAGATGTTTCATCCACACACACTCTCTAATTCCACCAATGTTGTAATCAAATCTTGTCTTTTAATTATCTACAATTCACACCTTTAAAACAGTGTCCCTAGAAAACGTTTACCATCGACTGATGGTGGTCTAGAAAGAAATATAAACCATTCTTCATGGGTTCAATGTTAAGTGTTTTTTAAAGACTTCCTTGTAAAAGGATAAGAACAAAATGAGCAGAATCAGAACTTTTTCTTGTTGACGAAACTGAGTATATGCACTAGTCACTGTATGTCAGAAGTGACAGTAGCAGAAGTTTTGTGGGTTTCTCTCCACCAGGCGTTTTGTACAATCTGTTGTTAAGAAAGGGACCCCTCTGGGATCCAGCCTTCCGCCACTTGTGGAAAATGAGTTAAACGCAAACACCAGCCAAGGCGAAATGAACATGGTAACAGGAAACCAGTCGCAGGTACGGACTCAACCCTGAATTGGGCAAGATTTACTGCAAATTATGAACTCACTTGTATCTGTGAAGTGTGCATACTCCATGTCTTAGCAGCAAAAAGAATTCCATTAATCCCTCCCACCTTGTATATCTGTGGCAACTTAGAAAGTGGGATATTCTTCCGCTGTAAAAGTTCTCCATATGTCCCTCCTGGTTCATGTTTCCTATACATCGTTAAACAGCTGCATACTTTCCTAAATTGGGAAAATAGGTATATACTTATAATTGTTCATTTTCACTCTACAGGGTAATATTGCATCGCAAACTCTATCTGGAAAAGGTAAATTAGTCTTCCCCTCATGTTTTTCCTCTCCCATACATAATGCCCACAAAATCTTGCTTCTAAACAGAAATAGTTCTCTCTTCTCCCACATGAGTCTCTCCCATGTTTTTACTACCTCTAATCTATTCCAGACTAGAAACATGTGACAGTGTCACAGGTTAAATTCAAACTAAAATAGAAATGGAAAAGATGCAATTAAGGGTCTGGGAGTAAAGTGCGTGCGATCTTTTTATTTTGTTGTTCTATTTCATGTGAGACAGGGTCCAGATTGAGCTACAACTCACTGAGGTCCAAGTTGACCTCAGTCTTTAATCTTCTCTGTTACTGAGTTTAGGTGAGTGTCCACAAGTTCATGCCTTTTAAAGTTTGCATGCTGTGATCAAAATAAAGAAACCATTGCCAATTCCTGTTACTAACTAAAGACTTAGGTAAGACCAAATCCAAAAGAAATGTCACATAAATGTATATAAGATGTTGGTTCAAGATTCCACATGATTTTTGACAGTACTTGACAGATATAAACTGTGGTTATGCATTTACTGAGTGGAGGAGTTAAAGGGCTGGCTGAACACAGGAGGGACAACAGACCTGTCACGTTTCACTTTGCCTTCTGCACCGCTGACTGTCCCTCTTCCTCTACCTCTTTTTTTTTATCAAGACAGGGTTTCTCTGTGTACGCTTGGTTGTCCTAGAACTCTTTCTGTAGACCAGGCTGGCCTTGAACTTACAGAGATCTTCCTGTCCTCTGCCTGGGATTAAAAGGGTGCAACACCACAGGCTGGATAAACTTTTCCTTAAGACTTGTTTATTTATGCATGTTTTTGAAGTATTGAGTACTCTGTTTGTCTGCATGCCTGTATGACAGAAGAAGGCATCAGACTTGATTATAGATGGTTGTGAGTCACCATATGGTTGATGGGAATTGAACTCAGGACCTCTGGAAGAGCCACCAGTGCTCCTAACTGCTAAGCCATCTCTCCAGTCCCGGTACTGTCCCTTACAAGAATATCTCTGTGGCAGATGATCTAATATCTGTCACCACCTGGAAATTTACAAAGAACGTGTTCCCAAAACTTAACCAAAGTGATTTCAAGTTTCCTGGTTATAAAATTCTAAGAGTGTGAATTATACCTTCCTAAACCTTAGGCCTATATGTAAGTGATTATGTCACTGATTTCCCATAAACAGGACTTGAATTTGAAACACCCCCTATCATTCGTTTCTCCATACTTTAAAAGCCTGTCATTTAACAGGGTTAAGATATGCTTGCATTGTTTGTTCTATCTCTTCCCCAGATGAACAGGCAGAGCTTTTACTGGGTGATCTCCACGCACCCGAGGCTATTGGTTTAGAAAGGGATTTGATCAGTCTTACCACAGGAACACAGGACAAGTCACAGGAGGATCTGGCAACAATAAACGAAGGAGTTTCCAAAGAAATATGGTTAGACTTTGAAGACTTTTGTGTGTGCTTTCAGTAAGTATTCAAACGCCATTCAGATGGCTAGATTCTCCTAAATAGAGAACTGTAGTATCCTACAGGCTCATAACAGGGTCTGCTTTTGTATATTTATATATTGGTCATATGATCTATTGATTCTTAACTATCATTCAAAAGAGAAAAGTAAATATCAGCATAATATCAAATACAATTTTTCTTTTTTATTGAAAATAGATTTTTCTCTCATATAATACATCCCAACCATAGTTTCCCTTCCCTCCACTCCTCTCAGCTTTCCACACCTCCCCTTTCTTCCAGATCCCCCCACCTTTCTCTCTCTCTCTCTGTTTCCTCCTTGGAAAGATCGGGCCTCCTAGAGACAACAGCCAAAAATAAAGAACAAAACAATATACATTAAGACAAAGCAAAAACCCTCATATCAAGGCTGGAGAAGGCAATCCAATAGGAGGAAAGGAGTTTTAAGAACAAGCAAAAGAATCAAAGATACACTAGCTCCCGCTGTTAGGAGTCCTAGGCTAACAGCCATAGCTTACATGCCAAGGACCTGGTGAAGACCCATGAAGGCCCAGTTCTTGCCCCTTCAGTCTCTGTGAACTCGTGTGGTTTTAGTAGGTCATGTTCTCAGATGTTCTCTATCCCCTCTGACTCCTACAATCTTTCTTTGGGATTCCCAGATCTCTGAGAGAAAGGACCGGATCGAGACTTCCAATTTAGACTCTCTCTTCACATTATGTCTGGCTATGACTCTTCTCCGGCTCCCATAATGAATGCATTAAATATCTATTCACATAGTACATTATCAACCAAATCTGACACCCCTCAAATATTTAAGATGAATTTTACCCACTGAGGTAATTCTTTCTCTTAAGAACAAGAGCAGCAGTTTTTTCAGTTTTCTGCCTATAATATTTAAGTCTTAAGAAGCTAAACATTTAGTACTAGCTTTGTATCTAATGGCAATAACCTGTTATTAATGTTCTCTTTTTCAGCCACATATATATTTTCCATAAGCCAAGTTCTTATTGTCTTAATTTTCAAAAATCAGAATTCAAGGTAAGAGCATTAAGCTTTCTTTTTATACATGAGATTTATGTAGAATGACCTCACTAAAACATATTTTTAAATGTCTGAAGCATTTATAAATATCTTATACAATTATGTTTGATATATCAATTTTCAGTTTTTTAATTACCCTTTGTCCAGAACATAAGCAATACTTGACTAGTTTGCTTCCCACAGTAGTCCTCCCCAGGTTGGGACATAATTGAGATAATGTATGTCAGACATTTAAAAGAAGATCTTTCAGTAAATGATGATAGATGTTGACTGTCACTTACTAAATAAGATTCACACTTTTTGACACCCATCAATTGTTTTTAATAAATGTGCTTATGTAGTAGCATGGTCAACTTTTCTTTGTTCTAATGTTTATATAAAGTGATGGTAAATAATTATTTTTCCTTTAAAATTTGTCCATTTAGCAAAATAAAGTAACATGCCTATATAACTCTGAGAAGACAGGTTGGCTGTGGTCTGAGGCCAGGCTTTCCTGTTTTAGTTATTGGTACTGATTGTTTTAGCACAGAGCCAGTGGCTAAAGCACACCTCTTAGACATTCTCTTGATGCTCAGTGTGAGGATGGAGAAGAGATCTTGGAAAGTCATTCATGAATGGCTTTGAGGACTGCCAATGCCCCAACTGCTAACCCTTAAAATTGAACCCCTTGCAGCAACTCTTTCTAATAGACAGGTCAGGCTGGACGATCCAAAGCCCATCACATGCAAATAGTGAGTATTTGCAACAACTGTCAGTATCACTAGGAAACATGAAATAAATGGTTGGATGGTAACTAATAGAAGATATTGGAGGAGGCAGTGATTTTGATCTCATGTCATGCCAGACATTTCTAGCAATTGTTTTATAGTTTATGAATAATAAGGTTTTCTTTTTTATAGTGTGACTACAGATTAATCATTCCTATCCTAACTGGTCGTTTAACTATTGTGGTAAAGTAGCATGTCTGTGACACACTTCCAAAGCATAGTGACAACTATATTTGTTAACTATGTTTCTGTTTGCCATCATTCAAAACTATGTTAAAGAGCTGTGGAGTTGGGAAGCAATAACAAGGCAATAAATAGTCTTGAGTATAATGTTAGAGTCAGGCTTGGTTTTAAACTCTAGCTTTACTACTTACAAACTTTGTGCCTTTGGCAACCCACACATACTGCTTTTAATTCTCTTGGGAATTAAGACCACCCATAGTTCTCTATAAATGGAAGTCCTAATCATGTAGCCATGTATGACTGACTTTCCAAAGAACTCTTATCTGACCAATCACTTTACTATATCTCTAAGACAAAACTTCACTCTGAACACCAGAGTGGTTATATTTCTGAAGATCTTGTGAGGAGAATTAAAAAAGTGTTTTTTTGTTGTTGTTCTTCTTTCCCCCATGTAACATTCTGCAAAATACCTCTATGAATCCCTATTAGGCAATTTCATTTGCTACCATGCTCAGTCTGTTTTCTTGCCTGTCTGTAACTGATTTTCTACCCTCAGCCTGCTCTTTCTCACCATGTTATTCCTGGAATTGGCAGTTCCCTTATTTTTGTTCATGGAGAAGAGTATCCTAATTTGGCAGCCAGACTCTATCAAGGTCCCAGCTCCAGCTGCCATGGATTATTGTGTGGATTTACTTCCTTTTATTAGACATGTGATGTATTGACTGTGATCCATAGAATGCAGTAAGTTTCTCCGTATGTGTGAACTTGACTGTGATGGACAGGATGAATGGACTGGTAAGCTTGATGGCTGCTCTGATTTCTTGCAGTTCTCAGAAGAACGTGTGCCCTACTACCTGTTTGTGGACAGCCTGAAGCCTATTGAACTATTGGTTTGCTTTTCTGCTTTGGTGCGCTGGGGGGAATCTGGAGGTAAGAGGGTTCTGAGAGCACGATTGTCTGGATGCCCATAGCACAGGTGGGCTAGGGAGCATGTAACAACAAGGTTTTCAGTCCATAGGTGATAAAACTGTCTCTTGGCCTGCTCCGGCCACCACCTCTGTTGCCCTTGCTCCTCCAACCCTGGGGACTGCGCTGACCCTTGCCACCGAATTCTCTCTTGATCACAGTCTCTTGTTCATGTCTTTGGCTTGCTCCATGTTGCTTTTCTTTCTGCCTCTACCTGTCATCATTCCTATTTTCTTTATTACTTAATCTGACAATGATCAGAAATAATCCTTTCCTTTAGCCCATTTTGGATTCTTCTGTGACTTTTGGTCTCCTTTCCCTTCAGGTTATGTACCGGGAGCTTGTCCCCCAGTGTGGTGATGTTCAGTCAGAGAGATATTTATGTGTTAGAGACTATGAGACATAAATAAGTCTGTGGAAGTACTGCACATGAATTGTGTTAAAGCTGGTCTCAAACTAATTTAAATTAATTAAATGAATTCTTATTAAATCCCTCTCTAGAGTTTGCTCTCTCCAGACTCCCAGCCTTTTAATTCTTGACTCTGACAAACCCTCCATCCATCTATGCTATACATGCCTTTATATGTCCATCACTCTTTTCATGATCTCTTTCCTCCTACCCAGTCAGTATAAGTTCTCTGGCAAATCACTGCAAATGTATCCTTTTGTGTACCCTACCAGACATGTCCAGCCTTATGACATAGTGACATCTACAAAGTCCAATCTAGGGAATAGTGCAACCCACTTAACAAGAACAAAATCTCATAATTCTTTAAGAAAGTTGATGATTTTGTGCTGGGCTGCAGGCATAGCTATATTTAGCGGCATAAAGCCACCTGTGGCCCATAGACCACATGTTGAACATGCTGGCTAATAAACACACTTGCCCTTAACCTCTTTTCATTGCTCTTCCTTGATAAGCATCCCAGTATTAAAGTCAACTCTGCCGAATCTTTGACTGCCAAAGAGCATCTGAATATGACTGGGAAAAGGATATCCTTCCTGCCAGCCCACTCAAAGCTGAGGAACAGAACTCAGCAAGCCCTCCTCTCCAGACAGTCCCTCGCACGCTCCTTCTCCCACTGTTCTCACAAAAGACTGCTTGAAACGTTGAATCTCCCTTCTTCCAGTCTTTCACATCTACTTTTATTGGCGTTCATTTACCATTGAAAGTCATACTGCTGATTTCAGCGAGAAATGGAGGGCCTCATTTTCCCACACAAACTCCCTGAGGCCCTCACACGCCTTACCTCTTTAAGTGGGTGGACTTCCCTGTTTGTACAGGTCAACTGGTACATACATATGACCATTCTTGGACTCCTTGGCCTATTTTGATAAAGCTTATCTGTAACTCAAGTTAACCCTGTCTCAACTTCTCAAGAATTGAATATTCTGACAATATTAAAGGTGAAGACTTTCGCACTTCACTTGAATCCCAATTATCTTGAATAACGAATATTACAGACTGCCAAATAAATATTCATTAAATTCCAAAATTTAGTGATCTCAGTTTAATACATCTTCTTAGCTATCGGCTCTGAAGTCCTTGTGTTCTAGGACATGGAAATTGTACATGCATGAGGAGACTGACCTTGTACATTCATCCTGAGAGTTTTTTGGAAGAAAGGCAAAATTCATTGTGTTCTCAGACATTGATGAAAAATAATTATTGTTGCACATTTAAAGAAAAGTTTGCTTGATAAAATTTTTATTCCTTGAAACTTCTATATAATTCAAAGATTTTTATACATTTAGATAGGGAAGAGAATATTTTAATTTTAATACCACCTTTGATATCTCTTATTATTCAAGATATTATACCATTTTTCTCATTAAAGTTGTGTCTGGGGAGACATTCTAATTATACAAATGGAGATGATAATAAAATATTGGCAGACTATGAAGAAACACATCAGCGTGTGCTGCTTCCCTCAGTCTCCTCATCCTAGTTTTTCTGTCTGAGGAGATGATGACAAAGAGCAGACTGGACAGGGAGGCAGCGCTGTAGCCAAGCTTGGTGCTGTGTCCCATGCTTATAGACTTAGCTTCTGGCATTTCAGGTTGCTTTTAGGGTATCATCAGCGCCTGATTCACTTTCATGGTTATACTGGATGGGAAGCAATGGGAGTGGAGGCTGACCGTCCTTCCACAGTCACATTCAACACATCTCCTTTCTCCCAAAGCCTTAACAAAAGACAGTCCCCATGTGGAGCCTGGACTTCTGACAGCCGAAGCCATCACCTGGAAGTCCCTGAAGCCTCTCAGTGCAGTTTTGAGGATCCACACCTATGCAACGAAGGCTGTCATGGTGCGCCTGCCTGTCGGGTAGGGTCCGACTTCATTTTCCCATGTTTGTGTCTTTTAGACATTGACTAATAAAGAAACAATGGGAGTTCTACATTATTGCTCCCTGAAGTGATTGACAAGGCACCTGTCCATCACTGGGATTCTTGAGAGAGAGAATCCTGCCAATGGGATGCCATTTGCAGAATCACACTGGATACTGTTTTGGAAGGCTCATTGTTGGAAGTTCTGGGACTGAACATGTAAAGAACATGACAAACACGCTTAAACCCAGAGGTTTCTAAAATGATTCCATCAGCAATCTCTCTTGTGTTCTCATAAATCTTACTGTTCTTTAGCAAGAATTCAGTTTGATTTCATTTACATTTGATTCCATTTGGATTGTAAAAGAGAATTTCTTCCTACTAACCTGAAATTTCACCTGTGGTGTGTTTAGTTAGATTCTATCTTTAATTATGGTAAGGCTAGGCAAACACATCACACTTTCTGTTCAATGGAAATTACATATAATGGAAGTGTTTTCTTGATTTTAGTATATAAAATTAGTGAGACTGTCTTTTATTTCAAAGGGAAAATATTCTTACCAGATATTTTCCCCTTAAGTTCAATCTTTGTAATTGTGAGTGATTAGTGAAGAGTTATGGACTATGTGCAGAAAGCAGACCCCAAGCAGCAAAATTAAATGCTAAACCAATATGTATTGTGCACCTAGAAGATCTAGAAAATAATAAAAATTTAAGAAGCATCATTTCTCAATCTAGACTCTGTATGGAAGGGTTCTCTAGAAATAGAATTAATTCTGTGAGATTATCTAACACAATGGTTCTCAGCCTTCCTAACCCTGTGATCCTTTAATACAGTTTCTCGTGTTGTAGTGACCCGGAACCATAAAATTATTTCATTGCTATTTTATAACTGTAAATTTGTTACTGTTACAAATCGTAATACAAATATCTGTGTTTCCCAATGGTTCCACTCTCAAAGGGGTCATAACACACAGGTTGAGAAGCACTGACACAACTATTGACACCAAGGACAAGGGTTTTAAAAAGGAGAGTCTTGCCATTGCATCTCCCCCCACACACCTTAAGCCATAGGTGTGTTTGGAGCATCCTCTTAGGAGTCTAAACAGCCAGTAACTGAAGCTAGAGATTGTCTCTGTCTTCAGTGATAGCAAACAGTGGACAGGAAGGAGAGATGGAGTGACTTGGTTGTGAATCTGCAACACTCTATATAGTCTCAGTGTGGGAGGCATCTTCAGTGTGTGGAACTTTGTCATTTTTATCTAATTATTTCTGTCTTCTTCAACCAGCAAAACACAGATTTCATGGTATCTGAGGGTTAGAGTGGAAATCCAAAGGTAGCTATATACTCTTCCCTGACTTTTGACTCCAAACTCTGATCGAGCAGCTATCAGAGGTGAAATACATTCAGCAGAGGAAGAGCACAGTCTTCATATGGTGTTCATTCTCTCTAGGAGGCACATGCTACTATTCAGTGCATATTCCCCAGTGGGACACGCCATACATGTCTGCAGCATGGTGACATTTGTCATTGGGGATGAAGATGTTGTACTGCCCAACTTTGAGCCGGTAAATATCATAGCAAACCTTATACCTTCTCTCTGGTTTCAAAAGAGTTTAAACTCAATCTTCTTTTGAGTTTTGAAATGCATTTAGCTTTCGCCCTCCTTTTTTAACCTATTAAACTATCCATATAGCCTTTAAGAAATGTCCAAATGTAATCTGTATAATTAACAATTTAAAGTCTGTAGGAAAACAAAAAAAATAATTCTTCCCAACAACTGTACCCACTGCGACTCTGTTGCATCTTTCATTCCTGTCACTGTCTCAGGGAGATGCATCCATCCTTTGGCGGGATAAAGCACCAGTGACATCCTTATGAATGCCATTTAGTTTGGGCATTCCTCCTTCTTTCATTCTTTTCTTACTCTGAGTGTAATCCCAGGATTCAGAGCATTCCTTGTGACTTCCTGGAAATGTCCAATCACCTCTTCCCTCTTTCTTCCTGGTCTTTCCTCGTTTTTCTTGCTTCTTTCTCTGCTCTGAAGAGAAAATGGGTGCAGCAAGTTTACTCAAACCCTTTCTTGTTTACCATGTCCTCTATCTATGTTTGTGCCTAAGGGAGGTCAGAACTTGTATTTTCTGCTATATGACTCCTGATACTTTCTCATCTCTCATATCTGTAGTAGCACTTTTTCATTGGACCCAAAAGCCCCAAAATAATGACACAGAGACTTATTAAATTTTATGAAAGCCTGACCTTAGCTTAGATTTGTCTCACTAGGTCTTATAACTTAAATTAACCTATTTCTATTAATCTGTGTTCTGCCACATGAGTATTTACCTCTCCTTCATTCTATGTGTTCAACTCCCTCCTTGTCTCATCTGGTGTTGATTCAACCCCCTGAATCTCTCTCTCTTCCCATAAGTCCTGCCTAACTTCTTCCTGCCCAGCTATTGACCATTCAGATCTTTTTTAAACCAACCAGAAGGCACCTTGGCAAAGACACAGTGTACAAAATGATTATCTCACAACAAATAATCCACTAAATAATCAGGATGAGGCAAAGTAAAACAAGAAAACAAACTAAAAGCTCCAGATGGAGCAAACATGGGATTCTCCAAGGTATCATTGTCTCAGTCCTGTGAGTATCCATGGAACAATGACTGAACTAGGCACCCCCTAGAGAAACAATAAGATGGCTCAGTTTTCCTGGCTTTCTCTAAGCAGGCATGTGCTATGCCAGGCAATTCCAGCGCCACCCAATACACACTGTCCAGGACAGTCCTCAAACATCTCAGATTGGGTTGATTCTTTGAGTCTCTGTCAGTCTGAAGCCCTTACTGTTTCTCAGAATGGGTAGCTAGAGGGAACCAACAGTCCAAGCTAGTCCACCATCTGGTGTTTTTTTTCTTGCTTGCTTGTTTGTTTACATCTTACAAGACCCTCTTCCTGGAATCTTCTCTGCCCTTCAGTCCTCAAAATCCCAGTCTTCATCAGTCTAGCATCTTAGACATCCTTCAGAACTGAGACTAGACAGTAAAACCATGGAGTCTTCCCTGACTCCAGCATGGGGCTGGTGCTCCTCTAATGCAGTCCTTTTCCTAGACTCCAGCCCTTGTTTCATGTCTCCCAGACCATAGGGTTCAGTAAGATGCTCAGTTTAGTCTATTCTCTGCAAATGAAATAGCCTTAAATCAATCCTATAGCCCAGGATTTTCTTCCCGGGAAGATGAACATTTGTGAACGTGGCTGTCCTTAAACAGACATGCGGATGGCTGCTGTATGTGTGCTCTGTCTTCACAGGAAAGCTACCGATTTACAGAACAGTCTCTAATAATTATGAAAGCTGTTGGAAATGTGATTGCTAGTTTCAAAGACAAAGCTAAATTGTCTACAGCTCTGAGGGATCTACAAGCGGCTCACTACCCAATCCCACTCTACAACAAAGAACTCACTGCTCAGCACTTTCGGGTAAGCACTTCCCATCCAAGGCTCCCAGCAGGAAAGATGCATGAGATGAACCCCAAATGCTGAGTCTAGCTGGAGAAGTGGTTTGCACGGGGAATGTTTCTTTTGAAAGTGATTCCAGGAAGCAGAGAGGAATCTGTAAGATGAGAAACAGAATGAAATTAATTAAAGAATATGATAATGGCAGCTATGGGCTACTGAGGCCTGCTCATCCAGAGACTCCTGCTAAGCTGCAAACGATATCTCCATAAAGGAGAGGAAACACTGGCACTCACCCAGCAGTGGTTATTCCAATATTTCAAGTTGACCTCGAGAACATTAGCCTCCTCACTCTTATAAGAGAAGTTTCTGCTGAGGCTGAATAGCATTCTGGTTTCCTAGATAGCCTGGGGAAGGGAGGTCAGTATACTTGTGTTTGTCTCTTGAGGAAGAAAACTGAGAGGTACAGTTCTATCCCAGGTACAAGGCAAGCGGGTGACATTTGGTTTTTGTTGTTGTTTTGTTCTATTTTTTTAAACCTCCATGCTATTGACATTCAAGCTAAATTATTTTTTTGTTATGAGAATGCCTTATGCACTGTGGAGTGTGTTATAGACAACTTCTTTTCATTGCATAAGCCAATATCATCCAATTTTGACAACAGAAAATGCCTCAGGCCTTATCACATGACCTTTGAGGGAGGGATTTTATAGCCAGAATGAAATATACAGGTCATTCAATTAAACTGTAATTTATTATAAACTCATAGTATATGACATGCTTAATAAAAACACAAGTAAAAATTTCTTTGCACTAAAAGTGTACTTTGCCATTATTCACATGTATATTGATGTTGGATGTTGTTGGCAAAGTATAAACTAAGACTGCACTCCACCTAGAAGAGCACCTTGCCAAGAAGAAGAGAAAGGAACCATTTTATTGTTGTATGGGCATCAAGGTAGAATACAGACACTCAGCTGAGTGTGCAATGGCAAATGTCACACATTCAAACAGATGCAACTTTTGCATATATGTTCACAATAGTGAAGAACAACTCAGCTCCATTGACCAACCTAGGTTGTGCCATTTTTGCTAATTGTGTGTGTGTATGTGTGTGTGTGTGTGATGTGGTATGTATGAGTACTTTATCTTTTTCAGGTTTTCCACATATCATTGTGGCGTTTAATGAAAAAATCTCAAGTAGCCAAGCCTCCTTTAAACTTCAAATTTGCATTTCGGGCTATGGTTTTAGACACGGACATACTGGATTCTTTGGTAGAGGATGTCTCTTTAGGTACTGATTCATTTTAAGTATCTGAGCATAAAGTGGTGATAATTTAAAAAGGGTATGTTCAGCTGTTGAGTTGCAGAGACAATAGATCTTCGAGACAGCCATGGAATTCAAGCCTTCTCTAGGGTTTTCCAGGGGATCCCGAGGTTGGCTGGGAAGACTTCGTAGCCCTTATAATATGCACTTTCAGGGGAATCCAGAATTCCTGTATATTCATCATTGACTTACCTGGTATGAATTAAGGAACTTTTGGGAGATGCCCCAATTCAGTCCCCTTTCTTCCTTCCTCTTATCACATTCTGTTCTCACTATTCTGTTTCCTTTCAGTTCTGAGGGAAGCTTCTGGATATTCTCTGATGGGAATACAAGGCAGCTCATTGAAATATCACAGATTCATGAATGATTTCCCCAGAAATTTACTAAGCTCAGTGGGCAATGTGAAATGAGATGTTCAATCCATCCTTGTGGAATTTTCTGTGTCTAAAGGCTTCCACAGTTGTAGGCATTAAATTTTTGGGAAAGGATTAAATGTAAATTCCAATCCAGTGCTTGTCGTTTTCTTGCCAGCGGAATGGGTGGACTTTAAATACTGTATGCCAATAAATGAGAAGGAGTATACTCCGGAGGAAATAGCTGCCGCAGTGAAACTTCAATCCATGTGGAAAGGGACCTATGTCAGGCTACTCATGAAAGCCAGAATGCCAGGTATGGGTTTGAAACCCTTGGAATGGAACCACATGTATGGGAAGGGGTATCTTGTTATGTGCATGAAGGTATGTTATAGTCACCCTGCTTTTCAGAAGGAATTTATTAAGTACAGAAATCCCCAGAGGCAAGGAGATGGTCGGTTGGAGTTCATGTTCTCATTATCAAAATGAGAGTCAGTGTCTGAGATGCCATCCACATACAATGAATATTTACTGAAAGGATAACTGTCAGAGCTGGGACAGTGAGGTGGAAAACTACTTTCTGCACACGCATGAGGGCTGGAATTCAGATCCCAGATTCTGTAGAAAAGTCATACAGGTATGGTGACACAATAGGCTCAGCAGTTGGGAGGCCGACAGAGGGTAGCCAGATGAGCCATATCGAGGAACTCATGGTTCTTTAGGAAAGACCCTGCCTTGGTAAATAGAGGGCAACTAAGAAAGACACCCGACGTCAACTTCTGGCATCCACATGTATGTGCACACATGCATGTGTCCATTGCGCATACGTGTGTCCATGCAGATGCACACTACACATTGAAACATATGTTCCATGAATCGCTGAGAAAATGATCAGCTTAATTTCCAGATCTATTGTGAGTTCTTTTCAACCATCCACAGTTTGGTCACAACGGTTTGTGGTGTCAGTCAGCATCAGTCAAGTAGGAGATTACTGTACATTTTCAGACTGAATGCCACAGAAGAGAGTGAAGAACACTGGTGCTTCTATGCATGATGAGGCTGATGTTAATTTAGAGGCAAAATGTTTTTATGTGTTCTAACATTTGTGAAGTGAAATGTTTTCAGGTATATCAAATGAATTGTGGGGGAGAAATGCCTATTTCAGATAAAAGTTCAAAAGGTGTATTCAATCATCATTTTCATCATCTGATATCCATTGACCTTTTGAGAGGGAAGATTTATCTAGGAGAGAACTTTTTAATTTACTGAAACATTTTGTTATAAATATATATCTATGGAAAACATTTAGTGACAATACTGAAATTTTTGTCTAGAGAGTGAAAAGTACGGATACCCAAAAGTTTTAAAAACATATAGTAAATATACAAATATAGGTATGATGCTGCACTCATATAGTTCCAGCACTCAGAAATGTGAGGTCAAAGGATTGCTGCTGTTAGTGTGAGCTGGCCTGAGATACCAAATCAAGAAAGAAGAAAGGGAGGGAGGGAGGGAAAAGGAGAAAGAAAGAACAAGTTGGAGACAGAAGTACGTTATAATTATTTGATTTTCACGTTTTCTTCATTAGAAAACAAACACATTCATAAAACTCATTATATGGTAAAATGTGGTTATGTCTATGAGTAGCAACTATTATATTCACATGATGATTTTGATTCTCTCTATAAGTAGTAACAATTATATTCATATCGTGACTTTTTTCTTTGTGAGAACTGTGAAAAATGCAAGCAATTTCATAATATAGTTCTTTCACTCCGCTCATATTCATTAAATGAATGTCAGGGGGACACATCCATGATGGCAACAGTCTCAGAGAAGCTGGCCAAACAAATGAAGCTTTAACCCCATTATATCAGGTGCACAACAGATAAGCAAAATGTTGTGGCTACCATTTCATATCCTGAAGAGCAGGGAAGATATTCAGGACCATAAGGAAAACCTGGGAGTGCAATTTTCTGACATGCTGATCTGAGATTCTTACTCAGGATGGCATTTCACCTGCCTGTCCATCTACTGTGAAGCCATTGGTGGACAGTGCCATAGACCAAGGTTCAAGCCATCCACCCAGATGTATTCTTTACAACAACTAGGCAGTTGCTTTTTGTAAGCTAAGGTTTTTCACAGGAGTTTTTGGGGCAGCAGATCTTCTTATGCAAACTGTTTTATGAGTCTCTTAAACATCCATGAACCCACATGTTTCAGGCTAAAGATGAGAGGAAACAGCAGGAAACTGTGAGTAGTGCTTTCATCTAGATATTTATAGCTCTATGATTTAAATATTCTTTTAATGCTTACAAAACTGGACAGCCTGGGGCCATCTTACTTGCGGATTGTGGAGGTCTCTGCAAACACCATGGCCCGCAGAGTATTGATCCACAAGAGGCAAGAAGAAAGTCCAGTTCAGCAGGACTCAGTAGCTAGTGTCAGTTCAAACTTCAAGAGTCTGACCGCTGGTAGTTTATTTCAGGCACTGAGCACAGTGCAATTTGGAAAAAGTTTCCTAGTAATAGTTAACTCAATCCCAAGTGCACAACAAAACTTAAGACATGACTACATCAAAACTCCTACAAAGTGACATTGTCCATACAGTTAGTTTCTGTAGATTAACTAAAGAAGACAGACTCAAGATAATCAAATTCATGATAGGATCTGGGGTAGCTGATGTGACCTGGCCATACAGATACCTCACAGGTTACTAGATTATTCACCACATGGCTGGAAAGCAGGTTATTATCTTTTTCTTTGAAGAGATAAACCCGTGTGTTGAACATTCCTGCTTTCTCTAGCACTTCTGTCTGAGCACAAAGACCTGCATACCTCCTACAGGGGATTGCAAAGTCCTTATCTGCACAATGAACACTGTGAATAAGATCATTGTTCAGACATCTTATGGATTTAATGTTAATTATTATTATTATTATTATTAAGACACTAAAGAAAATGCCAGTGCTGCAGATACACTTCAGAAAATTTGGACTGTATTAGAGATGAATATGGAGCAGCATGCACTCTCTCTTCTAAGGTAAAGAACACCTCTAGGCCTCTTCTACCTAAATAATACTTCTATATTTCCAGTAAAGAACTGTCCTATATGGCCATAATGGCCTCTATCCCAGATATCACCTGAGACATTGTGAAAAAGATCCAAGATTCCTGGTGCTTTTAAGGCTAGATCCAGACTCAGGCAGGAAGAGAAGGGGAATCCATCCCATCAATTCCTACCCTGTTGTGGAAGATGCCACAGGCTCCCTGCAGGGAGCAGACAAATCTCATGATTCATTTAAGTCAGTTCCATGAGCCAGAAAACATAGAGGAAGAGAATTCTAACCCTGTACTCTGTTTTGGGCCCTTCCTTTTTCATCACTGAATTTCCCAAGCCCACTGCTCACATTAACTTCACAAGCTCCAATATCTGGATCCTTTGACCTAGTTTACAACCACTTATCCTGCTTCCGTCTCTCCAACTCTAGATCTTAAACATTCAGCCTCCTTTCCCGTCTGTGAACATTACTCACTCCCTTGCTTGGGAATTACATTATTTTTCAGTTGGAGCTCCCTGAAAGGTGTCACTCAAGACAGACCCTGAATGTGCTTCTCTCTTCTGGCACCAGTTGTCACAGCTCACAGTGCCTCTGTGACCTCAGTCGGGAAAACAGTGGCATCTGATATTTTGTTATCTCAAGGGCTACTTCTCTTCTGTAGAGAAGAAATACTCAAGTTATTTTCCCATTTCTAGACTAATGTTTAGGAGCAAGTGTAAGTCCATGGAGTCTTACCCATGCTATCAGGATGAAGAAACCAAGATGGCCTTCGCTGACTACATGGTGAACTACCCAGACCAGCCACCGAATTCTTGGTTTATAATATTCAGGCAAGTGGTGTATGGTGTCATCTTCAGATGGCATGCAGTGTTCAGACCTGCTGTATATATATACTCACATAGTTTTTTTCTACATATATGATGGGATGTTGAAGAATTTTTATCAATAGTCCTTACATCAAAATATGAAAATGTAAACAATTTATAGATTTTTCAGTGACTGTCTTGACCTAATAAATCAGTCTGTTTCCAGTGTAATTAGATAACATTTATTTCCAAACAGTAGCATATTGGGTACAAGTCATGAATGTTGTATAAAATAGAATTTTGCATTTGTACACCGAACAAGTAATAATAACTTGAAATGGACAAGATATGCAAGCCTTTCAGTTACTTGCAATTTTAAAGTTTTACAAAGATTCTGTGGGGTTAAATTCTGTTTAAAGCATAGAGTCACTCTAAGAAAGTCCCATGCTTTTGTAATTACAGAGAAACGTTTTTGGTTCCTCAAGATATGATCTTACTCCCCAAAGTATACACCACTCTCCCGATCTGTATGCTGCACGTTGTTAACAATGACACAATGGAGCAAATGCCGAAAGTGTTTCAGAAGGTGGTGCCTTACCTTTACCCCAAAAACAAGGTAGGTGCAAACTGTATCCACAGGTGTTAAAAACAGTGGCCAAAGGGAGCCCATAAGCCAGGACGGCAGGCAGCTGAGCTTGCAGTCTACCTAGGAGGAAGAGTCCATTGTTTCAGTGAGACTGAATGCTGCAGCTTATTTTGCATTCCAGAAAGAACACATTGCACATGCCCATGGTTGAAACCAAAGCCACGTCGATTTAAAAAAGAAACAGGAGTTCATTTGGTCCTGCACTGAAACAGGCCAGGCTTGCCTCTATCTTACATGTAGCCTTTGTTCTTCTCTTAAGCGTTTGGTGGTGCTGAGTGTGGAAGGCACTGAGATCACACGCCCAGCCTCTACTCTCTCTCTTTGAAGGTAGCATGACTTTATCAGGCCAAGAAGCATGTAGGCTGCCTGCTGAATGGATGGGTATTTTAATCCCCTCTTCGCGTTTTCAGTCACTTTTCCCATGAGGGATCCATGGGCTACGAATGAAGAGAGCTGTTTTTGCTCCTAACTTCCATCCTTTGGCCCTGTGGTTTTGAACTTGATCATTTTCCCCTCTGGATTATGATTGCATTCTTCTTTTGAGGTTCATTTCAGCCTATAATCTCACACAATAATTTATGTAAATTAGACGTACCCATCTAATGAATGGCTAGTGAGTATTGACTTCAAAAGGGTGAAAAATAGATGTTAAATGTATTAATTCAATAAGAAGCTACAATTTTGATTTATGGTCATTGTGTTTACTACTTGTTGGAATTGTTCGTTTGTTTAAGTTAATGAAAGTGCGCTGTGGAACACAAGATATGAGTTTATTACGGGTGGAGAGGGAGAGAGACGTGAGGGGGAGAAACGAGACATGAAGAGAAGAAGAGGGTAAGAGAAAAGAGAAGGGGGGAGAGAGAGAGTGAAGAGAGAGTGGGGGTTAAGAACGGACCAAGGAGAGAGAGCAAAGAGCAAGAGAGTGTAAGTGAGCCGGGTCCTTTATACCTGCGTGCAGACCAGCTCTCATGGAACCCTGGGCTGACCAGAGTGCTGCCTGAGTGCATTCTGCCAGGTAACGGGCAGGCCAACACAATGCCTGAACCTTTCAGAAATGATATTCATATTTCCTTTATTTTGGTAACATTCATCATGTTTTCACACATCAAGCATGCCTTTGTGAAATTAATTTAACCTACTATATTTCTTCCTGCTCTATATTTTCCTTCATGGCCTAATGACATTTCATCAAGCATTCCAGGATTGTGAAATATCTCTTACCTGTGAATGCTACCTTCTACATAAGAATGTCCTGTATTAAATCCAATGTTAGAAAAAAATGCAGGCCCCTTCCTTAAAAAATTTGTTCTTACACATAGACAATTTTTGCTTTGCCACTTAACAAATTTGACATAGATTTCTGTTAAACAGAAACAATTTAATTTGTAATCACAAATATTCAAAAATAAGAAAGCTCAAAAGCAAGGAAATGATTTTGTCTAAAGCAGTGGTTCTTAGCCTTCCTAATGCCTTCAACACTTAAGTATAGTTCCTTGTGTTGTGCTGACCTCCAACCATAAAATTATTTTCATTGCTGCTTCATAACTGTAATTCTTCTACTGCTATGAATCTTAATGTGTTTTCCACTGGTCTCAGGCAATGCCCGTGAAAGGCTCATTCAACCCTCAAAGGGGTCATGAACTACATGTTGAGAACCCTTGGTCTAAAGGAAGAGTCTAGCAAAGTCATAGATGCCATGGAAATCTGGAGATGGTCTCTCTTTCACCAAATAAGTTATTTAATATTAATTTTGTAAGAGGCATTTAAAGAATATTGAATTCATAGGTTTTGGGGTATGAGTATGTAGTTTTGAGTTAGTTTGTTTTGTGTTTTATCATAGCTGGTTCTCTAAAGTTAAATCACATGGATTTCTCTCAAGGGTGTGAGTCAAAATGTAGAACACATCCCATCTCACCTTAACTATTATTTCACATAGCAACTTCAGATTGCATCAAACACTTTCATCCTTCTCTCGTGTCTCTTCTGTCCTCTGTATCTATCTAACTTCTAGGGAAGGAAATGGGATTTCTGAGCAAGAGAAGGAGGAAAGTATGAAGAGAAGGTAGTCAAGTGTGACTAGAGAACTAACTTCCATGGTGCTTTTTTTTTCTTCGATATGGTTTGTCGTTTCTTCCAGATTCTCACTCTCTAAACACACTTGTAAATTATTCATGTCCCAGGTAAAATGTGGCACCTAGAACTGAATGCTACCTGAGAACAAAGCTGATACAAAGAAAATTATTGCTTAAATCTTTGCTCTGTAGTCTATGACTGTATGAACACTCTGGGACCTGATAAGCATGGCAACATATGTGTGGCCATATCTTCAGAAAAGAAAAATGTACAATACTTCTCAAACATACTACATCATAGAAGCCCATTTTCATAAAATGAAGTGGGTCAATATTTCACAAAACACATCGTGGAATACACTACTGTAAATTGAAGTCCTTGTTTTTCTATAAGGCATTTTCCCCCTTTTTTTGGTTCGTTTGATATAGGGTTTCTCTGTGTAACAGTCCTAGCTATCCTGAAACTAGCTCTGTAGACCAGGCTGGCCTCGAACTCACCGAGATCCACCTGCCTCTGCCTCTCAAGTGCTGGGATTAAAGTTATACACCATTATGGCCCAGTCCATGAGGCATTTTTATCCTTCTATATTTACCATTAAAAAGTTTGCTCTGGTGTTGATGAGCCACCTTAATGATCATTTCCAAGAAAGATTTTAAAGATAACATTAACAGCTTGACAGTTGTTAGGAGATCCTGGACTCCAGGGGGATATCCATATAGTAGCACATTTATTTGGATGTATGGACCACATATTTGAGAGACTCTTGGCAATGTGAATCCTACGTGCGTGATTGCCTTCTCTTTCAGAAGGGATACACCTTTGTGGCTGAAGCATATACCGGCGATGCATATGTGTCAAGTGCGCGATGGAAACTGCGGCTCATTGGGTCTTACAACCCACTTCCGTTTCTCTCCCGAGACACTCCGTGCAGCACCTTCACCATGAAGGAGATCAGAGACTACTACATCCCTAACGACAAGAAAATCCTGTTCAGGTACAAGTATACAAGAGATGGTGTTCTTTAAAATATTAATATTTTTATTAAAATGAATTCACAATTCTGAATGCATTAAATTTTAATTACTGTAATTTTATAGAAATAACTGATTAACATTAGCATGGCGAAATGGCTGCTCAATCAAATCTATAGAGTGTCAAATAGTGCTAATACAATTTCTTGGGCTTCATTTTACTTGACTTTCACTAAAGACTCTTTCTGATCTCTTAGGGTTCTTTGACTCTCTTCTCACTCTGCCCTATCTGTAGCTACTCCCTAGTGTGTGTTTATGGGGGAAGGCCCCTGTTTGTCACTCTGTCTTTTGATGATCACCTATTCACTCCCCCGAATGGTCCTAGTGCTGGCTCCTCTTTCTTTCATAACTGCTTCTGTGGATTCTAGTGTTGAGTTGCTGTCCAGCTCTGTGTGTCCCCCATCTCTTCGCAGTGGTCCTGCACTATGGCAGGGACTTCATCATGTTTGTTACATGAACTTGTTTCTTTCACCTAGTACTCCATTACCTTCCTCTTAAGATACAGCACTGTCACTCTCCTTTCTTAATTTATGTGTCTATCCTTTACTACTAACATACATATTTAGAATTGCTATAAAATGTTTCTAACTTTCCACTGACTGCAGCATAAAACTCAAGCTACAGAGTGTAATGGTCAGTGCCCTTGCCCAGCCACCAACCATTCGCCAGACTGCCTCTCAGTAGAACAAAAGGTTCCCGCCAGATATGTAAGCTGTACAATTTCCTTTTCCTAGCAGACTTCCTTATTGTGTGATAGTCCATCTTCATTGTGCCACTTTGAAAAAAAGTTAATGATAGTTTCCAAAAGGTAAACCCTTTGCATTGAAATCGCCAATGTGCTCAACGTTTTGTGTAGTGTGATGCACTTCAGCTGATTATTTGTGCGTCAGCCTCTATGAGAATTCATGTTTTTTATTCAGTTTTATTGGAAATAGATTTTTCTCTCATAGAATATATCCTGAACTCAGTTTTCCCTCCCTCCGCTTCTCTGAGCTATCCCCCACAACTCTCCTCTCCCCCAGATTCATTCACTCTCCATTTCCTCTTCAGAAAAGAGCAGACCTCCAAGAGGTGACAGCCAGACTAACTGAAGACCAGACACATGTCCTTTCAACATGGGAACCAGCACAGCGCCCAACGCATAGTTGTCCTGCATTAAATGTTTTCTCTTTTTTTAATTGAAAATGTTCTTTCACATGAACTTAGAGAACACATTAAATATATAAATGCCTTTCATAATTGGACAACCAACAAATAGCCTTAGTTAGCACCTTGTTCTTGCTTCTTCTACGATTTCTTTCTGGCTATAGTTTACCACTTTGAAAATCATGACAGTGACAGCCTTGTGGTTGTGACATTTCATGGAGTGTTATGTAGTGCTCATTTATCAATGACATCAGGATGTCTTTAGCTGTTTTATGCCTGTCCAGTAGTCACTCCTGTTAACACTCAGTCATTTACTTGGCTAAAGGCTGCTCCTTATTGGGCATCATCTATGGTGCCAAGAAAGAAAAAACACTATTATTTTTTAGGTTTTATTATACTGAAGAGATGTTTTGTTCACTGTAAAGTGGTATGATTATAAGTGGCATGTAGTGGTGGTCACATAATGCCAAGGAAGGTGGCTTTTAGATCTATCCTGTTTAATCAGTGGCTTCTCATCATACTTAATAAAAAGAATCATTTCCTACTTGAAATTTTCTATTAAAGGAAACATACTACTGTTTTTCTTGACTAATTTTGGGCTCCTTTATCTGTAGTTACTATAATGTTTTAGCATGTCCTTGGGCCTTACTTACTAAGCTGCTTTACTTTCAGATAATCAAATGAGAAAAATCTCACCATTTCCTTTGTCAAGTTGAGGGACAGCTCAGTGTGCTTGTTCATAAAAGCTCAACCTTTCTCATAATAGGTACTCCATTAAAGTGACAGTGGCACAGTGTATTACAATACAGGTCCGCACATCCAAGCCTGATGCCTTCATCAAGCTACAGGTGCTGGAAAGTGAGGAGACCATGGTGAGCACCACGGGCAAAGGGCAAGCCATCATCCCTGCCTTCTACTTCCTGGGGAGTGAAAGAGCATTGAGCTCCCAGTGTAAGTACCTGCCTGGAATGTGGACTGCATTCATGAACAGATGCTTGTGTTGCTGTGGCATTTAAAAATGTTTAATTTAAAATGGAAACCAAAACTTGGCGTTTGACACCATACTTGACCCTAGAGATGCCATTGAGAATTATGGGTCTAACTATGCCCCCAAAACCAATAGATTGGTCATGACTTTCCTCTACCAACTACTTTGAGAAAATTTATTTCTTATATATGAGCCTGATTTTATTTTAAAAGATGTATGTATGTATATGAGTGTTTGCCTACATGTATAAATGGCACCATGCACATGCCTGGTCCTACAGAGGCAAGAAAAAGGACTTGGATCTCCTGTAACTGGAGCCATTGGTAGTTTTAAGATACCAGATGGATGCTGGGAAATAAACCAGGATCCTCTACAGGAGTAGCGTGTGCTCTTCACTGATGCGTCATCTCTCCAGTCGCACATGAATGTTCTTGATAGATATCTCTAATACTGGGAATTTTGAAAGTATCCATCTTAAAATAAGCATTTTCTTATAAGTACACTATATTCTGTAAATGTATATGTTGCCTATTTAGTCAGTAATACCAATGCACATCAAATATACTAACAGAATATTTCCCGTTTTTAGCTAGCAAGCAAATTCTCTTATCTCACACTTCACCTAAAAAAGAACAAGAAGTGATAACCAAGAAAAAAACTGGCCAGGCAAGTCAGAAATCCTTTAAGAGCAGACCTGGGAGCGTGGCAGTAGATGCGGGTCTGCCTCTGCTGGAAGAAGAAGTTCTGAATGTTACGACTGTAGAAGAAAATTCTAGCACACCACAACAGGTATGTTAACTGGGGAAAAAAAGAATTATTTGGGGCTAGGAAGATGACTCAGTGAGTATAATGTACGTGTGTAACTCCAGGCTGGGAGGCTGAGACAAACATATCATAGAGCCAGTTAGCCTAGACAAAATGGAAAACTCTGGTTCATTAAGAGACTCTGTCTCAAAAAAATAAGGCAGAGAGTGACTGTGAAAGAAACTCAAAACTGACTCGGGTTTCCACGTGCACACTAGCAGACAAGTGCACCCTCATACACATGTGCACAGCTACACAGATTCACTTGCACCTGCATACACACATGTACAGGTACACAGATTCAAGTGCACCCGCATACACACCTGCACATGTACACAGAATCAAGTGCAGCCTCATACATACCTGCACAGGTACACAGAATCAAGTGCACTCTCATACACATACACAGAATGAGCAAATAACAGGGAATGAGCAAAAAACCAGGGAAGAATTTATGATAATGTAAACAGGGAACAGGGCATAACAGTGGTGATGTTCAAGGTCACACTACTGAGACATCATCACAGACAAATGTGAAAATAAAAAGAAGAATGAATCATGTAGCTGTGGTCTTAATTAACATGGACACAAAACTGCCCAACTGAGAAAACAATGAAAGGCTACTAGGACAGTGTAGACTAGAACAGGTAAGTCAGTAATCCAATTGAAATGTTTGATGCGTGTCTCCTGGAAACCAGCATAGCTGAGTAGTACAATAAGAAACATTTGGGGGATTTGAACTTTCTAACCATAGGGAGCTAGAGAGATGGCTCAGAGGTCAAGAACACTGACTGTTCTTCCCGAGGACCTGGGTCTGGTTCAATTCCCAGCACTCACATGGCAGTTCACAACCATCTGTAACACCAGTTCCAGTGGATCCAACACTCACACAGACATACATGCAGGCACAGCACCAATGCACATAAAAATAATAACAAAAAATTCCAATGGTACTGCCTTTATCTTGGCATGCCCTGGATATTTTATTGCTTTTTCTGTGTGTGTCTGTAAGTGCTCACGTGTGGGAACAAATGTGTGAAGGCTACTTATCAGACCAAGGAAACACAAAAGGCATGAATTTACGAATACAGTAAAGTGGAATGGGATTTCAAGGCCACAGAGTAATATGGACAAGTCGGTGCTTGCAGAGTTAGACACTGGGGGCAGAGGAGAAATGAGAAGCTGGTGAGGCATGAGAAAGGAGTTTGGCAAAACTCATTCATAAGAAAATAATCTCAGTAAAGAGATAAAACAATAAAATTGCAATTATAATACCTTCCAAGTTTTACCTTGCTAAATACCACATGACCCGCTTGCTGAAATATGCTCAGCCTGTTTTCTCATAGAACCAATACCACCAGTCCAGGGAGGAGCACCCACAATGCAATGGGCCCTACTCCCACATTAATCACCAATTAAGAAAATGCACTACAGACTTGTCTGTAGCTTGATTTTATGGAGACATTTTCTTAATCGCGGTTCTCATCTCTCAAATGACTATCCCTGTGCACTGTGGGATGCTCCCCTCTGGACCCCGGATTAGGCACACACTACACAAAAACAGCAATTTCCAAGCACAAACCAAACATGAGGAAATCTGTTACTAAGCAGGACAAAGGGACAGGATGACTGAGTCTGAATCCTGAACCAAGCAGAGACAGCAGCAAAGAGTTTTGAAGGTATTAATTTTGAAAGGGAGAAGGGAGAGGTCTATATTAGAATGAGAATGTGTTGGGAAGTTCTGATCGCTATTTTAATTAGGTTAGTCAAAATAATTAATTTTGATTGCTGGACCTTGTTGTTTTGATACGTATGCCTGGGTGTTCAGTCTCAGGAATGAGTCAGTGGACAAATAAGGGAATGGATCTTGATGGCTAATTTTAGGAATGTAATCTAACAGTTTAGCAAGGGGAGCAAGGGGGAGAAGGATAAAAGGCAAAACCCATTGGTGCCATGCTTGCCATGCTCAGGCCTGCTAGAACACCTCAAAATTTACATAAATCTAGCCAGCATAAAAAGAAACATTCATTTTTTAAAATGTAGAGGTGAAAGCATCAGTCAAAGGAGAAAATGTAACCTCTCTGAGGCTAGGGATCTGACTTATTCTTTACTACAGCTAACACTGTAGATAAAGGTGGATTCCGAGTACACTACAGATTTAAGTGAGAAAGTTTAATCCATAAAAGTAATGACAGGTGATGCAGGGGACTGGTTTATAATCTAAGTAAAAGGAAAAGAGAACCCTAAAAGCCAACCACTTTGGAAAGATACTTCAAACCTCTGAACTAATATAAGAAAAGATGAAGATATGACAGAAATATGATTTTTACTTTATGCCCGTTACACTGATAAAAACTAGAGACATGAATGATGGAGGCAGTGCCTGGGATGGAGAATGTTAAATGCATTTTTGCTGCGTGTTGGACAGCAACTGTCTCTGTTACTGTTTTATTGCTGTTAAGAGACCATGACTAAGGCAAACTACAAAAGAAAGCATTTAATAGGGGCTTGCTTATACATTCAGAGTATGAACCCATGGCCATCATGGTGGGGAGCTTGGCAGCAGACAGGCAGGCCAGGCACTGGAGCAGTGGGTGAGAGCTGACATCTGATCCGTAAGCTGACAGCAGAGAGACTGGGCATGGCCTGGGCTTTGGAAACCTCAAGGCCCACCCTCAAGGACACACTTCCTCCAACAAGTCACACCTCCTAATCCTTCCCAAACAGTTCTACCAACATGGCACAAAACTTTGAAACATGTGAGTCAGTGGGACCATTAAACCAACAGGAACATCTCAGAAAACACGTATCATTTAATTAACCTATGATTGTATGATTCATAAAATGACACATCATAAGCTTGACCTAATAAATCTTTCAATTTCTTACTGCATAGATTCTTTTGGTTGTCCTGACTCACTGCCTTTCCTTCCACAGTGCTACAAATACATCATACAGTGCATGGTGATGTTTAACAGCTGGCCTCTCACTGAAACACAACTGACATTTGTGCAGGCGCTAAAAGACTTAGAGAAAATGGATGTCAAAGGTATGTCACCCTAAATGCTTTTAATATGTTTATTTTATGTGTATGGGTGGTTTTGCAGGCATGTATATAATAACTATACCATGTGCAGGCCCAGTGCCTGTAGATATCTAAAGAGGACATTGGAGCTCCTGAAAGTAGAGTTACAGGTGATTGTGAACCTCCATGTGGGCGCTGGGAACAGAGTGCGGACCTTCTGCAATAGCAGTCAGCTGTTAATACTGAGCTATCTCTCCAGTGGCACACTTTAAATATTACTCATGCCACTGTATTGTACGTGCTGAATAGTAAGTGCATCACACAATTATGAAATGTTATTGATCACAGTCTATAGCATCATATTTTTGTCATATTGACTGTTTCCATATTTTTACTGCAGAATTTATGAAAAATAAAAATATTCCATCATGGAGGCCTTGCAATTTTATATGGTCATGTTTTGTCTACTTGGCAAAACTGATGCACCACTTATACTTGTGAACTTTTCAAGAAATATAAGACAACTTTTATGTTTATCAAATTATACTACCCATAGTTGTTAGAAACGAATGGTAATAAAGACTCTGAAGTACACATCTTTAATTTCAGCACTCAGAAGGCAGAGGCAGGTGGATCTCGGTGAGTTGAAGGCCATTGTGGTTTCCAAAACTACAGGTATCTAGGGTTGCATAGTGAAGCACAGTCTCAAAAATTTGTTATACTAAAGATTTATATGTAAATAAAATATTCATAACTGCATACATAAGTAGAAACAATAGAGAAATAGCACAATACTGTGTATGCTTCAGTGTTCCACAAAGCTATAAAGCTTTTTCCTTCCTTCCTTCCTTCCTTCCTTTGTTCCTCCCTCCCTTCTTTCCATCCTTCCTTCCTTCCTTCCCTTTTGTTCTTCTGGGGTAATTAATAGTGTCAATAAATGTCAAATTAGAACCCTGGAAGTTTAGAAGTATAGTAGAGCAAAGAAAAAGATCCAAGCCTTCTTGCTTGCCTGTGTGAGCTATTCCATGAGTTGCCTCTGTCTCTTCACTTGTTTACATATTATAATCATTTGTTACTTCTGTCTTGGTATAACTAAGATACTCATGTTATTCCAAATATGTAGCACTTAGCAGAGGCCACATTACTCAAGTAGAGCTCATGAGGAGAATCCGTGAGAAATAGGTGGAGAAAAAGGTCAGGGAAGCAAACAGCCCAGGTATGTGCAAGGCTTTGGTTCAATCTCAGAGGAGGGAAGATGGGAGAGAAACGTGGGAAGAAGGGGAAATGGAAAGGAAAGGTAGAGGAAGGAAGAGGTGGGGGATAGGAAGGAAGAGAAAGAGAGAGAGAGGAACATGGGGAGAGAAGGAAAAAAGAGAAACATTAATGACCTGATTAAAATCATGTGGGAATCTAGCCAGCAGGGAAAATGTGTTTCTAAACACTTCTTAATGAGATTTCAAGAAATTGGTGTGTGCACATGTTTGACCATCGAGGGTAAGACAGCACTGCACAGTTCAGAAATAAATTTAATATAAATCCAGTGTGCAAAGTGTGAAATTAACAATGTGAGTTAAACCTCTAAAAGGAAAGTTCTCCTTAGATGGGTAGATACAGCACTGTAGCTAAACTTTGTTGGCAAAAACCTAACAGGAGTAACTTGTCACCCATAAAGCCCCAAGAACTCCCGCTGTCTTAGAAGAATCTCAGGAAGACACAGGTAAGGCATGGGAGTTCTCAGCTCCTAGTAGTATCAAAAAATGGTATCAGCATTCTTTTATATTCTGACAACAAAGTAGGCCTGCAGGGATCATAATATGTGTTGTTTTGTGGTATCACACTTGTCAATTTCATGTCTTGTTGAGCAATTGCTAAAATTAAAGCATACCTTACATGGCGAAAAACAGTAAGCAAAGATAGAATTGTATTTCATTTAAAACAAATGGGAGATGTCCTACTTAGAGATGCCGAGAAATCCTTTTGACAGAAAACAGCTTTTGAGTTCAGAGTAAGAGATTGTTACTAATTTTGTTTTAAAATATAGACTTACAATTACACTGTGTGTGTGTGTACACTCAAATGTACACTTGCTTCAGCTTATTGGAATGGAAGTCAGCAACCTGTGTAATTGGTTCCCTCTTGCATCACTATGGGTCCTTGAGATCAAACTCAGATCATCAGGTTTCACAACAAAGCCCCTTCACTCATTGAGCTCTCAAATGTGGATTCTAGGTGGCCAGTTGGATTACATTAAAACATCAAAGAATTGAAATTAAAACATTAAATTAATATATCGATAGCAGTGTTTAAGCCCTGTTTACAGCTCAAAATCTACATGCTTTTTAGCCCCCCTTTTTTTTAATTTGAAGGATATTGAGTACTTAGAAAACTTTAGTTCTTGATGTGTTTCAAGTATAACTTTGATTAATTTAAAAATATATTTTCATCATGTAGAAGTTGGTCAGATTATTTTTGTTACTGTATTGTTCAGATTTAAAATTATATTCATCCTGAAGTCAATAAAATATTTTTATTCTTTTAAACCATTTAATTACTATGAGCAATATATGATTTGATGTCTTTCAAAACTTTACATCCTTATATCCCAGAATTAAAAACGAAATCAGGTCTGATGTGTAGATACAAAGGTATATCTGACTTGGGATACTTACACTATTTGCAGGAACTTGACTTCCTGCTACCATGTGGCAACAGGGCCACCTTTTGTTTAATTCAGTACCCAGGGTTCAATTAAATGGTTGGCCCACTATTGGCTGACTTTCATTGAAGGAAATAAGAGACAGGAAGACCCGGAGCTGGAAGCTCCCAGTGGCATCTGCCTTCACTGTAACACTGTCAGTGTAACCTTGTCACTCTGCCACCTCTGCATGTTGATAATCAAGGCCTTTGGAGTTCTAATTGTTCTATTGAAACATATGTAAATGTTGCCTTTTTGTTTTGTTTTGTTTTTTATTTATTTTTAAGTTTAAATTTAGATTAGAAACGAGGTTGCTTCACAAGTCAGTTCCAGGTCCCTCTCCCTTTCCCTCCCCTCCTCCCGTGCCCTCCTCCCAATGCCCCCCATTATCCCCTCTTTTCCCCAGGGAGGGTGAGGCCCTCCATGGGGGTGTCCATAGTCTGTCATTTCATCCAGGGCAGGGCTTAGACCCTCTGGCAAGACTTCAGGGTGAGAGTGCATCTCACATTGTTGGATGGGAGTCCAAAGTCCATGTGTGTACTCGGGTTGAATACTGATCTACTGCCCAAGGCTCAACAGATTACCTAGGCCTCCTCACTGACACCCACATTCAGGGGGTCTTGATCAGTCCCATGCTGGATTCCCAGGCATCAGGCTAGGATTCAAGAGTTAACCTTTGTAAGGTCAGCTGTTTCTGGGGGTTAAACCAGCCCAGTCTTAATCCCTTTGATCACCAGTCCTCCCTCTCTGTTACTGGCTTTCTTGAGTTCAGCTCAGTACTTAACCAAGGGAGTCTGCCTCTTCTTCGATCAGCCACTAAATGAAGTTTCTGTTTCCCAGACTCTCTGGCCATAGGATTGTAGGCTGGCACTCCCCAGATCTATGTCTAAAATCCATATATGAGAGAGTACATGCCATGTTTCTCTTTTTGTGACTGGGTTACCTCACTCAGGATGGTTTCTTCTAGTGTCATCCTTTTGCCTGCAAATCTCATGATTCCATTATTTTTTTCTGCTGAATAGTACTCCATTGTGTAGATGTACCACATTTTCTCTATCCACTCTTCGGTTGAGGGGCATCTAGGTTGCTTCCAAGTTCTGGCTATTACAAATAATGCTGCTATGAACATAGTGGAACAGACATCCTTGTTGTATGAATGGGCATCCTTTGGATATATGTCTAAGAGTGGAGTGTAAAGGGAAACCTTTTCCTTGAGATAAACCTTCCCACCAGCCTGATTCCAGAGCCGCATGAGTCCCAAATAACACACAGGAGGCTATATTAATTATGAAGCTGTTGGCCTTGCTTGTTTCTTACTGGCTATCTCTGACTTAAATAATTACCCCATAATTGTTAATCTAAGTATTTCTCTTACTGGAGAACTTTCCGGGCTTCCTACCCCATGGCATTACATCTTGACTCCCTGTGTTTCTCCTGTGATTTTCCTACCCAGAGTCCTCCTGGATTCCTAGTCCCACCTATCTTCGTTCTCTATTGGCCAACAGTGCTTTATGGATATATACACAGGACTTCCCCCATTAGTGGAGTTGCTGGGTCTTGTGGTAGGTTTATTCCCATTTTTCTGAGGAATCTCCAGACTGATTTCCAAAGTGGCTGAACAAGTTGGCACTCCCACCAGCAATGGAGGAGTGTTCCCCTTTCACTATATCCTCTCCAGCATAAATTGTCATTGGTGTTTTTGATTTTAGCCATTCTGACAGGAGTGAGATGGTATCTCAGAGTTGTTTTGATTTGCATTTACCAGATGGCTAAGGATGTTGAGCACTTTCTCAAGTGCCTCTCAGCCATTTTAGAATCCTCTATTGAAAATTCTCTATTTAGTTCTGCAGCCCACTTTTTAATTGGATCCTTTGGTGTTTTGGAGACTTGCTTCTTGAGTTCTTTGTAAATTTTAGAGATCAACCCTCTGTCAGATGTGGGATTAGTGAATATTTTTCCCTTTCTGTGGGCTGCCTTTTTATCTTGCTGACTGTGTCCTTTGCCTTACAGAAGCTTCTCAGTTTCAAGAGGTCCCATTTATTAATTGTTGATCTCACTGTCTGTGCTACTGGTGTTATGTTCAGGAAGCTGTCTCCTGTACCAATTCATTCAAGGGTACCACCCACTTTATTTTCTAAGAGGTTCAGTGTGGCTGGATTTATGTTGAGGTCTTTGATCCATTTGGACTTAAGTTTTGCGCATGGCGATAAACATGGATGGATCCGCATTCTTCTACATGCCAGCCTCCAGTTATGCCAGCACCATTTGTTGAAGATGCTTTCTTTATTCCATTGTATATTTTTAGCTTCTTTGTCAAAAATCAGATGCAGCTTTTTTCTCAGATCACAATGAAAGGAAACTAGAAACTAGTAAGAGATGAATGTGATTTCATAGATGTGTAGAAAGCAACATGGGTCTTAACATAATTGTCTACATTAAAAACATCAACAACACCTGAAAAATGGAGTCTAGAGAGATGGCTCAGAGGCTAAGAACACTTACTGGCCTTGCAGAGAACTAGGGGTCATTCTGAGTACCTACATGGTTCCTCACAACTGCCGGTAACGCCATCTTCAGGAAATCTGATGCATTTTGATGTCTGGTGGCACTTATATACACAAGTCTCTCTCTCTCTCTCTCTCTCTCTCTCTCTCTCTCTCTCTCTCTCTCTCTCTCTCTCTCTCACACACACACACACACACACACACACATACACACATTCAGGCACATTCACATGCATATAAAATAAATAATTCTTTTAAAAAGAACAAACTGCAAAGCTGGAGAAAAGAAAGAAAATTAATCCCCAATCAAAATGAAGGAAATAATAGTAAAGGTTAGAGCATAGATGAATCGTGTATCTATGCAGTGTATGAAATAAAAGGCACCCAGATGGCAAACACAATGGCTAGTGTCTGATGGCTGCATAAGCCCACCGCTTTATACATACCAATGTTGAGTTGATGCTGTATGAATTACATCTTACTTTCATTAAAAGAATTTTGACCAGCTCTTATAAAACATGTGTTTATTTGCTTACAAGGAAAATAATCCAACCTCTGTAGATGAAGCATGCTTGCCATGTCTCTACAGAAATTGGTCTTGTTGTCATGTTGGGTTTCATTGGTTTCCATTTTCCTGTCTCTTTAACTCATGTAGAGAAACATGAAGAACTAATTACCGTAGGAAGCCCAGACTCCCATGCTGTCAGTGAAGGGCAGAAATCTGTAGGAGTTTCCAAAACAACAAGGAAAGGCAAGGAGAAGGCTGGGGAGAAAGAGAAGTTGGCCAAGGAAAAGCAAGCGCCTCGCTTTGAACCTCAGGTGGGTCAAATGAGACTTCCTTACTGAACACAAGACTCTGGTGGCACTTGCTGTCCCTGGGAAAAGTGAGGGAAGTAGCAATAGGGAGAAATGAGAACTCCCCATCCGAGACTCCAGAAGTGAGAAATCCTGTCCATTTCCATTTGTAAGATCCTATTTCTTAGCTGCCTTGTTCCCTTTAGAATACCGAAGTAGACAAGTTTGGCTGGATCCACAAATTCTGTCCTCCAGCACCTTGACAGTTCTCTATTAGTCAAAACTTGACACTGGAAAAGTTCTGTATCGACTCACTTTTGGAGCCATTAAATGAGTAAAGCTAAAACTCTAGGCTTCAAAAATAAGAGAGAAATTTCCATCTGAGACTTCGTTCTCATTAAAATACTAAGAGAATCATGGAGGAAACAAGGTCCTGGTGGGGTTCTGGAAGATCCCACTGACAGAACCTCCTGACTCAAAGATAGTTAACTGTAAAAATCTTTTCCATGTTGCTTTTGGTCATGGCATGTCTCACACCACCAGGGAAACATGCATACCAGCATAGTAAATGGAAACTCTAGGAGAGCAATTGGCAGAAAGTTTATTTGGAGAATAAGGGTCTCTCTGCCTCTCTGATTGTTCAGGAATGAATTTCTCATATGTAAAAATCAAAACCCATTTCTGCTCCCCACAGTCCTTGCAAGCAAATGGTTCTATAGACCTTGAAGTACCGCTCACTTCTAGAGCCGATATGTAGCGAGTGCATTCAGAGCCAGAAATTATCAAGTGTCTTGTTCATAGTTTTTGAAGACACTGTGAGTGGCCATAAATATAATTTAGATTTTATTTTAAAGGTTTTAAACAGGGTGTGTGTGTGTGTGTGTGTGTGTGTGTGTGTGTGTGTGTGTGTGTGTACACCCTCATTAGTACCATGGAGGTCAGAGGACAAACTGTGGATTTAGTTCTGCCTTCCACCATATATGTCCTGGAGACAGAACTCAGAACATCAGATTCATCAGATTTGGCAGCAAGCAGTCTGGCATGCTTCACTGGCTAGTTTTTTTTATTTAAGCTGATACAGCATAGAGTCACTTGGGAAGTCAATTGAAGAATTGCCTGTATCTTCTTCGATGTTTGATGCCAGGTGCAGCCCACTGTAGGTAGCCCCATCCATCCCTAGGCAATGAGTATGGGCTACATAAGAAAGCTCGCAGAGCACTAGCTGGTAGGTAGGCCAGTAAGCAGCCTTCTTCCATGGTTTCTGCTTCAGTTTCTGCTTGAGCTACCATCGTGACTTCCTTCCAGTGATGGACCTCAAAATATAATCTGAAATAAACCTTTTCCAAGTTGCTTTCAGTAATGCCATTTTTTCACATTAACAGAAAAAAGTGCAATGACCATCAGCCTGATTTAGACTTTACTGTGTATAATAATTTTAAGATTGCATAGAATGATGAGCATGAGATATGCATGAATGTGTCTGTATGTGCACATACATGCATGTAGGTACATGTGTTCGTGTATCTGCAGACGCCCAGTATTACTGTTGGGAGTCTTCATGAATCACTTTCCACTATATTCACTGATGCTAGGCCCCTCAGCTGAATCTGGAACTCATTGCCAGCCAGTTGGCTCTGGGGGTCCTGTCTTTACCTTCTGAGCACTGGAAGTCCAAGCAGGCTGCTGTGAACAGGAAGCATTGGAGCTCTGGGTTTCTGAACTCCACTCCTGACGCTTTTAAAGCAATAACGTTTTATCTACTGAGACATAGCTCTGAAGGCACAACTCATATTTGTACAATTCATCAACTTATGCAGGTACATACATCATGTAACTCAGGGTAAAGGTTGTAGACTATGTTCACCAACCTGTCGCTGCTAGTTTTGTCACGCCTGCATCAAAACTCCAGGGAACTGTCCACGTGCTATTCACGCCTGTCACAGAATTCAAACAAATGCTTCACACGAGCTGAATTATTTTGTGTTTCACTTACATGTTTTACTAAGATATATACCTTTAGGGTTCTTCCATGTGGTAGTGTACAGCAGACGTTTATTTTTATCCAATGCTCAGCACCCAACATAGGAACGTGCTGTAAGTTGTCCCTTCACCAGCTAATAAACTTGTATGCTATTTATTTCATTTGCTATTGATGCTGTGAAAAAGAATATTGAGCCCTCTTCCACAAACCTTATACAAATTAATGTTTGGCTTCTCTACAGTAAGTAGCTAACCCTGAAACCACAGCTTAGGGAGTGAATCCTAGAGTTTTTCTAGAAGAGAAAAGCACTAATTTTTTTAAAACTCTCCCCCCTTTCCCCTAGCCAATACCCACTGTTCACTCTCAACAAGAGGATCCCAACAAACCCTACTGGGTTTTGAGGCTGGTTTCTGAACACAGCGACTCAGACTATGTTGACGTGAAGAAAGACACGGACCGGTCAGATGAAATCCGAGCCATGAAGCAAGCTTGGGAGGCAACTGAGCCCGGGAGGGCTATCAAGGTCACCTACTTTGAAAGGCTGTTCTTTCTCACTCTTCCTTGGTAGTTGTGATCTGAAAAATGAGTCCTGTGGGTGAAGTTGCGCAGGATTTCTTTTAGGTGTGGGATTTGGAATTATATCATATACTAACTGGATTGTGACATAAAGTATGCCAAAACTATGAAACTCCCTCCCCCTCTTTTTGTACATAGCCAAGCAGGCCTGGATCCACATGTACCCCGAAAAGCCTCAAGTAAGAGAGCATGCAAGTGTTTCATGTATGTTTTCCTATTAGGAACATCTTTAGACTGAAAAGTATGTGCTGCCCCCTTGTGGTATTTAAATACTTGTCCCACCTTTTCCTTATACAATGGTTCTCAACCTTCCTACTGCTGTGATCCCCCTCTTAGTATTTCATGTTGTGACACCCCCAAACATAAAACCATTTTGCTACTGTCATGAAGCATAATGTAACTAATCTTGGATATAGAGGTTTGTTGAAGCGATAGTGACCCACACGTTGAGAACCACAATATCATGGTGAAACAGTTATTTTACCTGTAGTGTTCCTTGTCCTAATTCAGGGTAACTGAGGCAAATAAAACAGATTAAGAAAAAACTGGATTTAAGATAACATGCTGTGTATATTAGCTTAGCATGGTGGGCCCTGCTCCACCTCGTCTCTCTGTCACAATCTACAACCTGTGGAAGCCACAGAGGGCTCAGAATTTTAGTCCGTTAATGAGAGTAGTCCCAGTCTAAACTGCCTTATTTGTGTTTCCTTTTTTATCTTCTGTTTGCTCTGAGCACCATCATCTTGCTTCAGTTCACACCACTTGCTGCTTTTCAACAAGCTGACAGGCTGACATCTGTCTTCCAGGCTTCGCAGGCCCGTTTGAAGTACCTCAATCAGTTCGTTAAGAAGCCATCTGATGTCCCTGTCCAAGAGACTTTGTCTGCGACCCAGAGCCAAACTAAAACTTCAGATGAAGGTCAGTGGAGGCTAACCAGCTGCTCATGCATTTGGTGGGGCCTCTTTAGTGACAGGAAATTATTTCAGAGTTTCTTGTCCTCGGGATTGTGAAAGGTCATAGGGCTGCACATCAAGACAGGAATAGACTTTCAATTTTCAAGTCCATTGTCCTATTTTCTCACCTCACATGCCCTTTCTCTACATATAAGCAAAAGTGATTTCCTTACTTAAGAAAAGCTGAAGAATATGATGTGGTGGCACACACCTATAACCCCAGCGTTTGGGAGGTAGAGACAGGAGGTTCAGAAGCTCATGTCCATATTTAGCTATATAGTGGATTCAGGACCAGCCTGGGCTACAGGACACCCTGTCTTGAAAAGGAAAAAAAGATGAAACCAGAAATGAAATGAGGTGTTTACTAAGTGTGATGGTTGTCACGTGGAATTGGAGGCAATCCTATTACCATAAACCTGGCACCATTTTAATACGAATAAAAATAAGAATAATAAAATAAGTCACCATAACAAGAATAGTAATCATGAAGATTGTTATGACTTGGCAACTTGTATTTCTTAAATGCAAATTACAGTTGACCCTAGTGTCCAAAGGTTATAAGTCCCAAGACCTACCAAAATGCACAGGTGTTCTAGACCCTTCTAGGAAATGGCGATGTCTTTGTGTTTAATTTATGCTCTTTCTCCTGCATGCTTTAAATTATCACAATGCTTATAATCATAATTCAATCTAAGTGCTATCTAAGTAGCTGTTATACTATATCATTTAGAGAATATAGAGGCAAACAATATGTATGTATATATATATGCATGTTCATTACAAATAAAACTAACATAGAACTAACTATGTGGTAGATAACAATAGCATTAGACTATATATTTCAAATTACTTAGTATTTATTATGCTTTGTGCATGTTCATGTACATTCTGTAAGGATGGCTGCCACACTACACTACACATACAGAGGATGGTCAACTTTGTGGAGACTGTTTTCCCCTTTACATAATTCCAGGAGTTAAACTCAGATCACTAGACTTACATAGCAAGCATTGCTTTACCCCTGTGGGCACCTGCCATCTTTTAACCATAAAAGTTTTAAATGTCATATTAATTCATTAATTTCTTATGTTATGTGTATGTATGTTTTTTCTGCGTATGTTTTTTTTTCCTGCGTGTATGTTTATTTACCACATGTGTGTCTGGTGTTCACGGAGGCCAGAAGACAGCATCAGATCTCCTGAAACTAGAGGTATAGACAGTATCATATGGGTGCTGGTAGTCAAATATGGGTCCTCTAGAAGAGCTTTTAAACACTGAGCAATTTCTCCAGCCTTGCCTTAACAAATTCTTGATCATTGGTTAGTTAACTGAATCCATGGCTATAAAACACAGATACAGAGATACAGAAGATTAACTGTATTTTATTTGGATTTCTATACCAACTCATTGAATTAATATCCTAATTTCCAAGGTGGAGAAATTCTCAGTAATATTTCTAAGTTCATGAAAAACAGGAGACCCTGCATGCTTGCAGACCTGACCCTCCTTTGAACCATTTGACCTCTCATAGATGCCTGACTATACCCAAGTACCACTGACCCAGGCTTCCATGAAGGCAAAAGCAATTCACCTTCAATGGATGAATATATAGGAGAATAATGCATGGCTAATGTGAAATTTAGTGTTGGTTTTTATGGTTTCTTCATGGCCAACGAGTCACTATTAGAATCACTTCTAAGGAAAATCCTCCCAGATTTAAGATATTCACAAGTAAAAACCCCTTTCAGGTGTATTTTTAAGATACTTTAGTGTCAAGATTCAGAGAAGTGACTTGCCTGTATACAGTGGTTCCAATACTTAAAGATCTCGCCTCTGTCAATATTGTCCCAGTACCTAAAAGCCTCTGATTGTATGTGGCTTTCATATTCCAAGAGGTTTCCAGGCTCACCGTACACATATTCCTACACTAGCCATATCATGCTTTGACATCCCGGATGCTGCAGGGTATGCAGGCCCTGGTTAGACACAGCAAAGCTTTTGAATTGTGTCCTCCAAATCTGGGTTCCTACAAGCAAACCCTTTTAGATTTATTTGCATGTGACTTCGAAGAGTGCAAGTTATTTTTTTCAGGAACTGTAGAAGTAGCAGGAAGTGCGGGGAAAGAGGCAGACACCAAAGAACTGACACCAGCCACAGTGGGAACTTTGTTGTGGAAGAAGTGGAAACTGTCCAAGAGCATCAAGGAACTGGCAAAATCCTCAAGCAACGAGAGCAAAATGCCTGCGGCAGGGAAGCAAGAGAGAGAACTGAGTGTACCTAAGGAGACTTTTGGTGAGTTCTGGTCTTGCTGGTAAGGTAAGGCACACACTTGACTTTGAAATAACAGTATACACAGTTCATAGCAAACACACGTCAGATGAAGGCTCCCAAAATAGAAAAAAATATATATACATATACACATCTGTCACAGCTGGTACCACAGCATGACTCCCTGGCATATTAATCTGTGGTTCTATATGGGTCCTCTAGAAGAGCTTTTAAACACTGAGCAATTTCTCCAGCCTTGCCTTAACAAATTCTTGATCATTGGTTAGTTAACTGAATCCATGGCTATAAAACACAGATACAGAGATACAGAAGATTAACTGTATTTTATTTGGATTTCTATACCAACTCATTGAATTAATATCCTAATTTCCAAGGTGGAGAAATTCTCAGTAATATTTCTAAGTTCATGAAAAACAGGAGACCCTGCATGCTTGCAGACCTGACCCTCCTTTGAACAAGGTCTATAGCAAATGCTGTAATTAGAAGAAAATACTATTGACTAAGAATTCTTTATCCCAGTGGAAAAACTAAAAGCCATCCTTAAAAACTTCAGCCAAAGTAGGAGTCAGATACAGCTCAGTGGTAGAGCCCCTGCCTAGCACATGGCAACTTCTAAATTCAGTTTTCAGCACTGATAAAAGGAAACAAAAAGGAGGGAATATTAAGGAAAAATGGTATATCTTCCTAAAAACAAACCCCAATGGGTGTGAGTCCAGAAGAGATGGTTTAAAATAATTGTCCTCTGAATTAAGAGAAAATGACCTTAGTAAGTAATTCAGACACACAAGAAAAGGTCATTTTGTCAATTTATATTTGAAGAAATCAGAATCGTATTTGTGAGTTTTTAAAGTGTTTTGAGAATAGTACTTGGGAAACTCTTCTGGTTGACTTCAGACACAGAAACGGCATGCCAATAATAGGTGACTGAGGAAAAGGACTTGTATTAAAAAAAGTTTTAGGTCCTGCTTTCATGGCTACTGATCTGATGAAAATAGTGGAAAATACAAATGTGCATTATAGAAACTATTCTCAAACAAATGAAAATAGTAGCAGAGCATAGTGAAAACATCAAGACATGTCAAGGCTGAGAGGGAACTCTATAGGAATGAACAACACCTGCAAAAAGTGACCTTACTACAATTCACAGGACTAGAGAACTGAGACCAGAGGAGAGAACAAAGCTAACTCATACTTAGAAGGAGAGAAATAAAAACCAGAACTGAAATAAATGAAGTAGATACTAAAAATCAAAATATAAATGAATACCTACACTAACCTTTAAAAAGGAAGGGGAGGGACTCACATAAGTAAAAATAGGAGGTGGGAAGGAAGACACCAAAATTAACAACAGAGAAATACAAAGATGTTGTTAGGGATGAATATGAAAAACTATGTGCTGGCAGTCACCTTAAATAGATGAGCAAGTTCCTGGATGTGCAGCTTATAGAGACTGGATGATGACCAGCTGGGGGACAGCTCAGGGTCTAGTACTTGCTATGGAGCAGGAAGACCCGAGTTCAGGTCTGCAACTCTGCTGCTCAGCAGTTTGGAAACACAGATCCCTGGAGTTTGCTGGCCAGAGAGTCTACTGAAACAGTGAGCTGCAGGTTTAGCGAGAGACCATGTCTCCAAAAGTAAGGTGGTGGACAGCCATCATGGAAGACATCTGTTGATCTCTGAATTCTGTATGTGCCCTTGTCCACATACAAGCGTGCATACACACACACACACACACACACACACACACACACACACACACACACACACACACACAATTTAAAATAAAATGAAAATTTAAAACCCTGACAAGCCAAATTCAACAGCACATTAAAAGTATTCCCCATGATCAAGTCAGATTCACAGAAAGGATATAAATATAGTTCAAAAGATCATTACATAGAATATGCCACTTAAACAAAATGAAGGACAAGAAAGCAGGAGTCTGGACCAAGCTCAACTCTCAATCAGAAGCACAGTCCTGTGAAAACTAAACAGCCCACATAGTGCTTCACAGATCCATGCATGAGGGTTAAGGCCTGCCTCACTTATGGCTCTAGCAATTCTCTATATAGGTATATTTCATCTGTAAACAGTGATGACATAGTTTCTTTCTACTGTCAGTAGGTGTTGTTATTGTTCCTCTTGCCCAATTGCTCTGGTAAGGCCTTCTAGAGTATGCTGAATGAAAGTGGTGAAAGTAAGCATCCTTATCTCATTCCAGACCTTACATATATTTCTTTTGACATTTTTCCTGTTCAGTCGCATTAGAATTGATATCCATATTGCCTTTGTCTTATTTGAGAAATGACCCATGAAGTATGAAAAGGCGAGTAAAGGGAGCAATCAGGAAAGACTTCATATTGTACACTGACAGCACTGTTATCTTCTGGAAAGGTATCGATAGATAGGATCAGCAGTTCAGTGGGCTATGAATGGAGCCCTTCTGGGTCAGCGGATGTACTCTCAAGGGTATGTCGATCCTGGGTTCCATACAGCTATATATATACAATATATAAGACCTAGAGTAAGCACTAAAGTAAACCATTATATTTGGGAGATGATGACCACTGGGAAATATGGGCAGTGGGGGAGATTATGCGTGTATTTATGAAGGGTTAAACTGAATAACTATTGCTGTGAATCCAGAACTATTCTTAGAAATAAGAATTGAAAACAGAGAGAATGAAATGGAAAGATTTTTTTCTCTGTAATTCCAACATTTATCATGATATTCATTACAGTCGCTTTGGGTAGAGGGCTAGAGTTGGGTTAGTGGGGTAAAGGACCTGCTTGCCATGTAAGTCTGACCACCTGAGTTCACCGCCACACTAAAAAGTCAGATGTGGTGCTGTGCATCTGTAATCCCACTGTTCCTGGAGATGGGAGGTGGACATGGGATAATGGGGAAAGGTCACTGGCCAGCTGGCCTTAGTATGATGTACAGAAACAGAAATAAGAGGAACCCTGCTTCACAAAGGTGGAAGGTGAAAACTGACTCCCAAACCGTCCTCTACACCCCACACCCACACACCACATGTACCACAAACAATATGAGTGCTAACACATCAAAAGACATAAACAAAAACTTAACTGTAGTTTGAAAGTCCCTTAAGAGGTTAACTGTAATTATTTTACTGTGACCCAACCCATTCCTGCTTATTGGCGATGTCCAGGAAAACAAAACTATATTCACCCATGTAGATGAATGACAGCCCACACCTTCTGGAGGGCATGGACACTGACTGTAGAAGACAGAAACCTCATTTGAATTATGCAAATGTCTTAAAACTGGATTTTATGATGAGCAAAGAACTAATAGATTTAATTTAAAAGTATTGCATCCTTCAAATGAGGTAGGTTTTTTTGTTTGTTTTTAACGAAAATTAAGCTTTCTTTTTATTTTGAAGATGTGGTGGTCTGGGAAAGTCAAAAGATCACTGTTATCCAAAGACTTCAATCCTTTCTAAATCTGTTCTTGTGGCTCCCTCTGGGTGCATGAAGTAAGAGTTGTTCCTTTGACCGTCATTGGTGTGTCCATTTTACTCATTGTTCAGTCCGGCGGAAGGTGTAACACTGCATCTGAAGAACATTTACAGATGTCTTTCAAGCTTTTTAATTTTGAATCAGTTAATTTGCTTACAACAAAATTTGGTAATTGAAAGAGGCTATTTTTCCATCCCTCAGTTAATTGTAATTAGTAGAGAATTTGTTACTGTTCTAATGGTGCATGTTCATGTTTTTTGCCTCGTTCACTTAGCTAAAGACAAGTTTACACTTGATAATTATGAAATAAATTTAATAAGTGTATTTCAAAAAATCATAACAAAAGCACAGGGTTGTGTCTTAACAGAAAACATTGTTTTCAACCAGAAGGAGATATAATAGCTACTTAGCTATTTACTTCTGGAAGCCTGAATTCTTTGCTTTTCAGTGGTACCCCGTTCACGATCTCAGACAATTTTGGAAATGTCTCCACGACTCATTCGAAAAGCACTAGAATTTGTGGACTTCAGTCATTATGTACGGTGAGTTTCAGCAAACATGATTAATGTAGACAAGTGTGTTCATAGAATTTTAGGTATATCCCCAATGGACAGTTGCTAAGTAATCAAAAAGCTGAAATTAAATGCTTATTATATTTTCATTTTGTCTATTTTAGGGCTGCATGATTTTTCATCTTAATTTGGCAAATGTTTTAATATATTAATCAACAACTCATTTAAGTGACTTTTGTAAAAAAAAATTTGAACCTAAAGCCCTCATACTACCTACTACTATCTTTTAATAGAGTTGCATTCTCTTCAGAACTAAATAATAGGCTTAATAGAACCTGTCATGCATGTTTACATGTTTGAGAGTGTCATCACACTTATGAAATGGATAAATTTAAAAGTACAACTCACTAGTACTCATAGTTTAGAATACCAGTTTCATAGTCACCTTATCTAATGATGCATCTGAGTTAACTGATGTTCCTCATAGTATCTTCTAAAATACCAATCAGTCAGTGTACAATACCTAACCCACTTCTTTTTTAATGTTTCCTTCCACCATCTCTCGTGTTTGGTTTGATTCAGACCAGCACACAGTTAACACAATTCTAAATTGCTTTGCATTCTGAAATAAATTTACTTTCTAACTCTCAAGAATGATTTTTTCTCTCTTCTGATATTTATATCAAGGAAAACTCATGATGAGCCCATGCTGCTGACAGAAGAACTGAATAAGCAGCAAGCAATGCAGAAGGCAGAAGAAGTCCACCAGTTCCGGCAGTATAGGTCCAGAATCCTTAGCATTAGAGACATCGACCAGGAAGAGCGATTTAAGCTAAAGGATGAGGTTCTAGACACCTATCGGGAGATGCGGGTGAGTCTAGATGTACCTATGGTCACATCTGTAAGGTTCCTTTGTAACAGTAAAAAAGCAGAGTTATATATCTAAGTAGAAAGAATTCTGAGTATCTGATTCTAAAGTTCACTGTCTCCCAGAAAGGCTTAGAATATACTCACATACCTCATTTCGCTCACTGCTTTCTTAAAATCCCAGTAGCTTATCATAATAGGAATCTTTCTTAAGATGGGATGAATGTGAGAGAAGATGAGACACTATGAATGTATAAAGTTGTGGGGTGAGGACTGCATCACCCAAGTTGAAACAGGCAGACCCGATGCTGGCTGTGGGAAGATGCTTTCGAATCTACCCATCTGCTCATAGCCTCTTTACAGGATGCCCCACAGGCCCAGCAGGCTGGCACCAGGGACATTAGGACACGAAAATGAAATGCGATGGAGATAATTAGGCTTCCTTGGTTAAATGCTATTTAAAAGTCGCAGATCAAAACCACAACTTTTCACAGTGGGTGGCCATTATCTCTACCACCACCACCATGTGCCACACCTGTCTCAGTGTAGAGGAACTTTTTATAGACATGCTCCAAAGAAAAGCTGTCTATGCAGTGGGAGACAGATTAATTGAAAACAAGACTATGAAAGAAATGTAAAGATGCAGTAAAGGTAAGAATGACTTCCATCTTTCATGACATTTATTGCTTTCTTCTTTCTCATACATACACACACACACACACACACACAGAGGAATACACTCAAATACGCTCACCTAGACACACAGACACTCAGACACTATACTGACATACAGACACACTCACCCATGCTACACATACTCATACACAGAGGGAGATATAGGCAGACACACATACACACACACACACACACACACACACACACACACAGGCATGCACACACAGAGGACTGAGAGGTATTGAACTTTCTAAGTTTAGCCATAATGATACTGGATTCTCCACCACAGCATTGCTTGGTGATGTGGAGGAAAATGCTAGCTAGATATTTCTTTTTGTTTTGCCCAATAGGCACTTCAAACAAAACCTCTCCAAATATTAATTGTAGCAATTTTAGCCCTTCCTCTCATTTCAGGATGAGCACGTTACTTTACCGTTATCTTCATCCTAGAAAATGACAATCACAGATTCTCTTGTTCAGAGCAGAAACCTTTGAGACAGTCTTGCCTGTCAGTCTTCACCAAAGATCCATTATCAAAATTCACTTAGTCTGCTTTGAGAATCCATCTGAAGCTCATTGCCTCTGCTCTCTCTACGTCTAGTACCCCAGTGCCGACCATCTTGTTTCTGGTCAGCGTCTTTCTACAGAGCCCTCGCTGATCTACTAGCCACTTCCACCTTAGCCATTCTTTGATATGGTCTGTCCTTAGCAGCCAGAGGGCTCTATCATTGTGGATAAGCTGATTGTGTGGTAACAATCAATTTCACCATTTCAGTCACTAATGCAGGATCTGGAAAGTTTGTTTTCTATAAAAGGGGATACATATTTTTGTCTGTGTGGGTTCTCTGGCTGTTTATCCAGCACATGTATGGCTTCTAGTTACTTTGTCCTACCAATATTAACACATAATCAAAGATAATACTTACCTAAATGGGAATACATCAAATAAATAATACTTTATTTAAAAAAAAACAGGCAATAGTCAGATTGGTTCCAGAGGCTTCAGCTCACCAAGCCCTGGCATTTCTCATTCTAAGCACATGTTTGATGCAGTTCAGTGTGTCTGTCTAAGCACATGCTTGATGTAGTTCAGTGCGTATTTCTTAGTCTATTAAGATGCTGAGTGAGGCTGGAACAGATCATATGCAGAAACTCTTCTGTGACTATTATGACAGTAGAAGGGACCACATTACACTGAGCATAGAAGCTGGACCATTCTGCTTCTGCCCAGAAATAGCTATTATTTCTACTCAGACTTCATTGCTTAAATCAAATCACACATTCACTTACAGCTTCAAGATGGAGTCAACCTTGGTTAGCTGTGCAACATAAGGAACCATGAAACCGTGTATTTCTGTTACTTAAGCACCCTGGTTGCTGTTACTTTATTACAGTCATTCTAGCAATCTAATACTGAGAGCAATGTTACCTTGAGCCTGAGAAAGAATGGGGAAGTCCTTTATTGATTACACTAATGGCATGATCATGCCTGGTTTTGATTTTTAAGTTATTTTCCTATGTATGTACTTTTATTGTTCAACATGAAATCATAATACAGACTTTATAATAAAATGTGAATGAATTGTAAATCTGTCTCTCCTAGAGAACACACTATAGATAAAGAAAGCCTTGGTTCTGGTTTGTTCTCATTCTTGAAAGGGAAGAGCACAATTACTGTGTGTGGGACAGGTTGATCCTGAACTCATTTAAGGCAAAGTTCCACTACCAAAATCTCTACCCATTGCTGTTTTTCTCCAAGGATTATTATTTTTTGTCATACATTCTGCATTTAAAAATCTCACTTGCTTTGTATCACAATTTCATGTTTGTGTATTCCTAAATGTTCAAGAACAAACATCACTCACATCTCCAGTGAAGCCCCCGCCCCAGCATTAATGTGTTAGCATGAGGGTTGGGATTAGGGAATGTATTTATTTTCCTGCTGCTTATGCATAGTTATCAGTGAGACTGATTGGCTTGGGATTTGTTTTTGGAATAGGACTCTGTAGATGAAGCCCGACAGAAGATCCTTGATGTCCGGGAAGAATATAGAAACAAATTATTAGAGGCGGAGCGCCTAAGGCTGGAAGCTTTGGCAGCTCAGGAGGCTGCAATGAAGGTGGAGACAGAGAAGAAGTCTCCAGTTTCTGACTCGCAGAAGAAGAAGAAAGGAAAGAAAAAGTGACTGAGAGATTGAGGAGTGTTGAAGGCATTATCACTTTGCCTCTTGATAAAACATCAGATCAATTGAAACTGGAGGAATGTTTCCCACTACAGTTTCTACTTTTTAATGTTAGCATGTTAGTTTTCTTAGAAAGGATTTGAATCCATTAGCGGATCAGATGTTCTAATTTCACTAAAATTGTTAAAAAATAGTTCAGATTATAAATAAAATTGTGCTATACTTTGAATTTCTTGCATTAAAATAAATTTATATGTGCATAGTGAGTGTATATGTGTGCATACACCTTGGCATGCATCTGGGGTTAGAAGCACTTTTGGGGAGTCTGTCTCTCCTTCCACCTTGTTTGAGGATCTGGTTTCTGCTGCTGTACTCCAGGCTTCATAGCCCACATGCTTCCAGGTGAGAAAATGCTGTATCCACCTCCAGTGTCACCACAGGAACACTAGGAATGTAGATGTGTTAGTAAGCCTGGCATTATACAAAGGTTCCGGGAAATTCTAACTCAAGTAATAGAGTCTTGTAGCCACTATTTGGGACCCACTGAGGCATCCTCTAAGCCATGAGTTTTAATTATCTTTAGTTTTAATTATGTTTATATGTATTTGTGTGTATGTCTGCATAAGTGTCCTGCCTTCAGAAGCCAGAAGATGGCATCAGATCTCCTGGTGCTATGTGCCACCCCATGTGGTACTCTCCAGACCCCTGAATTTCAATTGGTAGCAAAACAAGATCCTAAATGAATCAAGAGGATTATCTTTGAGAAAAAAAAATCAGTGAAGATAGGTATTTATTATTTCAAATTTCAAAAGTTTTATACTGATTCTTCATAATTGTGCCATTTTGAAGCTGATACCTAGTAAAACATTATTAAAATGTTCCCGGTACAACTGTCATGGTGTCAGGAATCGGGGCCTGGCTGTGTGCATGATGGCCTAACAGAGATCCTGTGATCACAAACACAGCCATGTGTACTGTCAGCACCCTTCCTTGTTTTTCACTGTAAAACAGACACTTCTTGTGAGCCAGAGTTTTAAAAATGCGATGAACAGGTCGGCTGGGTTGGAAAGTGGGCAACAGCCAGTCTCCAGCAGCTTTCAGCACAATGAAGACCACTAAAGTGCTTTTTACCCAAAATCGCTCCACTCTGATAGAGGACTTTAGGTTATTTTCTCCCTTTGAAAAATCTTTGTTTAAAATGTGTAACCTAGCCTACATGTACATGGCTAAATAATTTTTGACAAGGGTGCCAAGAATTAAAAACAGAAAGGAAAGCCTTCAGTAGATGATGTGGGTGAATGGAGTTTCCAGAAAAACGAACAAAAACAAACAAAAACCACCCACACCTATGTTGAAACTCTCCAAGGCTGATAGGCTGGTTATCTCTTCCTCCTTCAAGCCAATGACAAAATTGCTGTGGGCATGTTTTAGTTCCCTTAGTAGCCGTTCATTGCCCACCTCTATGTCTCCCATGTTTTGGACCGTGAGAAAACCTCCCATCCAAGTGCTGGTCTGGTCTGACATGTGTAAGATAAAACTTTCAGGGTTAAGTTAGGAGACCATTAGTACTTGTCCACCCCAAAACCAAGAATGTCACCACATAGCAGGATCTTCCAGGCTCTGCTGTCCCCACCAATGATTTTGGAAAGTGCACTGATCTGTGACCTTCTTTTGTTCTATATTAAGATTCATGAAAGCATTTCCACATTGCAACATGCAGTTGTGGAAGTCAGAATCTCTTTTTCCAGGTTATGGTCACTCATATTTGGTTAAGAATAAGTCACCTCCTGTTCCCTTGGAGGTGAAAACCATGTTTTCTGATCAAAACATGAAATGGTGTTATATACGACGTACAAAAATTAACTTAAAACCTACTGAAGACCTTTACTGAATATGGGAAATGGAAAGTCTTAGAAGCAAGCAGTAGAAGACCTCCTTGACATTGGCCTCTGCTGGTGTTCAGGAATCTGTACGGGTCTGTCCTTGGGGTTCTGACAGGATGCGCTCTCAGCTGCAGCCACTAAGAGTGCATATTCACTGTTCCCTTTTAAAAGGGCCCTGACCACCTCCTATTTCTCTCTCTCTGCTTGTCTCTCTGTCTCTCCTTCTTTCTCTCTTTCTCTCTCTTCTGCCACTCCTTTATCCAGAGACGCATCTCCCCTCTCCCCTCCTCCCTTCCCCATTCACGTTCCGCCAATAAAATCCCTCCACCCAAGTTCTGTCACAAAGTGTCTTTCTCTTGAGGCTACTTTTCAAAGTTACATCACAGGCAGCTGTGGTGCTAGAGAAGGAGCTGAGAGTCCTTACGTCTTGACTTGTAGGCAACAGGAAGTGCTCTGTCTCACTGGATGATAACTTGAGCATGTATAAGATCTGAAGGCTCACCTTCACAGTGACATACTTCCTCCAACTTGGTAAAGAATAAGTCACATACTCCACAAGGCCACATCCCCTAAGAGTGCCACTCCCTTTGGAGGCTATTTTCTTTCAAATCACCACAGCGGCCAAGCTTGTTAGGACCATCAGAGCTCAGGTTTGTGCCCTACAGCTGTGGTGATATTACTTGCAGTCTAATATTGGTCCCTCCTCATGAAACACGATTACAAACCCTGGAAATGACACAAGACCAGATTCATTATTTTTCTGAGCAAAGACAAAGATAGCCATCCACACTGAAAGTCAGCATTACCTCCTATGTGGCATGGAAGCCTCCTTTGAATAATGAGTGAACTGATATCACAAGCGTAGGGATCAGTGGGCTGTCTCACCACAAGTAATGAGCCAGAGGAAAAGTTTCTTTCTCTGCATATTCAGGCACTCCCCTTTTCTGGTGAGAGATACCCAGAAGGAGCAAGGGGGACTCAGCTATGGCTGAGTTCAGGAAGCTTTGTTGGCCGCATCGGTCCACGATTCTTCCCCCACCTGGAGATACTAGATAGACAGGAAGAGAACTCAGACTCAGCATGGGGCCCCATTCCCAAGCCCCCTTTGTACCTGCAGCCCGAGTCTTCTCTGACCAGGGAAGTAAACTAGTCAGGAGGCAGTAGAGGTGAGGCTCGCCACCCCTCACTCCTACTGAGGACCACCCATCAACTGCCTGAGGATGTCTCTTCACAGCCAGGAGCAGCAACACCAGACGACCCAGGTGACTGTAGTGTAGCTCTCATTAGGAAGCTGTGCAGATTAAAATATCACCACCATAATCCACAAGAAAGGACAAAAAATCTGTGCTATAACTCAGCAGTAAGGCAGCTTTCCAAAGTAAAACACCCAAAGAGCCCAAGACTGGCCTAACACAGTAAAGGGGGGAATATGCAAACATAATGGCTCACATCAATGACCTGTAAATGCCCCAGTCTGCGGGATTTTCAGATTCTGAACGTCCTCTAAGTCCTGGGTCATTTCCTCTATGGCAAGGAAGAAAATACTCTTCTTAGAGAAAATGAATGACCTTGCGGCATGCTTAGTTTTCCCTGACAGTTTATAAAGGAGCCAAGTGTGAAAATAGATAAGCAACCTGGGACTCCGATTGCCTGAGGCAATAAACCCAGGCCTTTTCTGACAGCATGGATGACTGCTTAAGCTATGGAATTACATTTCTCCTGTTAGCAGCCTCATTGATAACATCCTGGTTGTATTCAAACACCTTGAAAGCAAGCGCCATAGGCTGATCAAGTTTGGGCTGCTTTAACCTGCATGCACAGCACAGCAAACAGTGTCCTCTGAGTGAACGTTTAGGGAGACCTTCCTATTTACCATCTTATGCCTACGAGTGCCTGGAAGTGCAACTGATTAAAATCAAATGCCTCATGGCAAAGGGCATGTGCAGTAGAGAAACAGGTAACTCAATCTTGTCGATGGAAACCAAGAGAAAACCTATACCCTCCCTCTAGCGACCTGCAGCTCTTCCCCCTGTACCCCACAAACAGTAATGGGGAACCATTGAATGTTTTAACTCCAGGGCCTGGGGCTTGCTTGCAGTGTACTGATCTACACTGTCGCCTTGCTTTTGGATAAGCTTTCCTTTAAACTCCACAAGCAGATCTCTGTGTGTTTGAGACCAGCCTGGTCTACAGAGTGAGCTCCATGATAGCCAAGGCTACATGGAGAAACCCTGTCTTGAAAACAAACTAAAACAGCAGCAGCAGCAGCAGCAACAACAACAACAACAAAACCCTCTTCAGTCTTTGGGCACTTCAGTCATTCAAACAGGAGGCCAAGAATCTGGAAGCACTTGGTTCAGACAGCTACCTCCAGGAACAGCTAAGATTTGCTTGCTACCACCCTAGGTATGAATGGAGGTATAGCACGCACCAGGTTGGCATTAGTGTCAACTGCTTTCCCGACTGGTCAGCAAGCAGAATTGTGCATCACCAAAGAGCTCAGCATTAGTGATAAGCAGGGCAAAAGACAGGGCTGATAAATGTTAGAATACTAGATCTTAATGTAAGTCTCCAAAGAAACTACTGATCGACACATGGATTCTCAAGTCATCTGTGTTCCACAGTTAAGGATTTGAAATGTATCTACAATTATTTTAAATCAGCATTGTAATTCCCACTTTCATAAAGAAAGCAAACTTATTTCATTAGTGTTCCCTACCAAGTGCCTTTTCCCATCTGTTTAATTTGGCTGGAATTTCATGGGAACACAAACTGAAGAAAAAATGGTCAGAAGACACGCCAATGTTTGCTGTGTTGTGATGTGATTTAGAGTCTGAGGTGCAAGGCTGACTACTGTGGCATCTAAAACCATCCTAGCCAGTGAGGACATAAAACCAAGAAAGCCAAAGGGAAGTTTACTGTTGAGAGTGAAGTCACTTCAGTGCCAGCATTACTAAAGTTTACTGTATACATTTTTTAAAGTGTGCTGATTGGAACCAAGAGACAACCTGCACCCTCCCTCTAACAACCAGCAGCTCCTCCTCCTCCTGAACCCCACAGTCATGGGGAACCGTTGAGCATTTTAACTCCTGATGTGGGGTGGTCACATGCCACAGTGCTCCTGTGGAGGTCAGAGGACAACTTTGTCAATCCTATCTCTTTGCATCATTACTTGTGTTCTCAGGTGAACTAAGACGTCTAGGCTTGCACAGCCTGGGCCTTCGCCTGCTGGGCTCTCTCATCAGCCCACTGAGCCCTCCTGTTGGCTCACTGTATATTTTTTTTCCATGAACAAGGGAGGGAATAAAAGCCACATTTTATAAATCATGAGAGATTCAAAGTCTTCTCTTAGTTTTTCCACAGTCTTCCTTTTCC